CGGCGGCGGTGCGCGCGGCGCAGCCCTGGCATAGCCCGGGGCCGCCCGCGCCATTGTTGGGGGAGGGGGCACCCGCCGAGCGCCGCGGGGCCGGGGCCGCGTGAAGGTGCCGGCGACGGCAGAGAGGAGTGCCGGCGCCCATGGGGAACACGCTGACCTGTTGCGTGTCCCCTAGTGCCAGCCCTAAGCTGGGCGGGCGTAAAGGGCCGGCCGAGACTAACTATGAGTCGGAGACTTACGAGGCGGCGGCCGGCGACGCGGTGGCGGTGGGGGGAGCGCCTGTGCCCGCGGCCGTGGAGCCCTCAGAGTTGGATCTCGGCGCCGGCGAGGGCCACCACCTGCAGCACATCAGCGACCGGGAGATGCCCGAAGGTAAGAGGCAGCGGGCGCATCTCTGCCTCCGCCCCCGGGACTCCAGGGAGGCGGCCGCCGCCTCGGGTTCCTTCCTGCCCCGAGCTGGGCACCGGGGGGCAGCCTCCTCGACATCGTCCGGGTCATCGTTCCTTCCTTCCCCGCCGCAACCGGCAAGGTTTATGCCACCCACCCCTTCCCTAACGCGTGGTTCTTGACCCCTCTTAGGTCCCCATCCCAGTCTGGGACCTTTTCTGTTGGTAACTCCTACTTTGTTCTGTGAAGACTTTTTGATTCCTTTTCTGAGGGAACATTCTGGTCCTCCAACCTTAGAGCATCCTCCCGGTCTCCCTGTCCTTACCTATCCAGAACGTACTTGCCCTTCTGCCCACCGGCCAGATAGCTGATGGTCGCAGGCAGAGTTAACCGTTTGAAGATTTTAAAATTTAAGTTCACCTAGAGGTTGCCACAGCACTTTATTTGTAGGCTTTTCTAAGTTGTCTTTAAGAGGCTGTTTTATTTCTTCCGACTATAATTTGAGCATAGAAGAAAAGAAAAGGGGAGGGAACATTAAAATAACTGTGAAAGGTTTAAATGATACTGTCAAGGCTGCGGACCCCTCCCCCCTCCCGCAAAAGAAAAGTTTACCGCAGAGTTCTGATTACCTTGCGGTTCCCATCCAGCCCTACACCGGACACGTCACAGACTTCATTTATCTGGATTGTCCTTGCGATTGTCGTTCACTCGACAAAGTTTTGCTTTTTGTGAGTGCTGGAGAAAGGTTTGCGACTTAGAGCGCCTGGCCCTGCGCTCCTGGAGGGCTTGTTGCTATGGCTCCCTTTCTTTCCTCCCCCTCGCCTGCCTGTGGATCTCTGCTCAGCTGCTAAGAATGTTGAAATAAAAGGAAAGTTCTTCCGACTAAACCGCAGGGACGGGGGAGGGCGAGGGCTTGGTTCTTACCCTGGAATTTTGGAAAGAGACCAATCTAGGTAAAAATAATTCTGGGTAACACCATTGTTCTTGAATGAAGACTAAGTCCATTTGGCTCTTCCAAATACAGAGGAAGCCTGTGTATGTTCTCCCTACATTGCTGATGAAGAAATGGAGATGGGGTGCTACAGGAGGCAACTTCTGGCCACCTCCTAACTCAGACCATGAAAGTGATAGATGTGTCAAATTAATTCTTAAGGAAAAACTTTTTAGAATGCATCTATATTTTATCTATAAATTAGACCGCTTAGAATGTTCTCTTTTTAAGGTTTTCACAAAGTTCAAAGCTAACAGTTACCTCTATGTCCATGTCTGTGCATTTATTTTAACGGATAACAGTAAAAAACTGATGCAATGAAATGGCCTGACTTTATGAGCTGTATGGGTGGGTTTGTTCTGATAACCGTGAATTGAAGCAGAGAATGCTTGGCACAGTGCAGCATTAGGAGAAGCCAGCAAGAAGGGAAGTAAATATGGGACTGGGATACTTACCCAGTAAGTGCTAAGTCAGAAAATCCAAAAACATAGCGTATGAGTGTTGAGTTTGTTGTTTTGTGTTACTTTATACAAAAGTTTGCATTTCAATTTGTCCTTTAAAATTAAACTTTTAAGGCTAGGGATATAGCTCAGTGGTAGAACATTTCCCTAGCATGCATAAAGCCCTATGTTGGATCCCTAATACTGCAAGGAAAAATAAGTTTTTGGCATTCAATAAATGCTGAGAAACCTGAATTTCAGTATTTGGCCGTTCTTAACTCTCCATAGAAACAGTGTCAGAACACCATATGTAAAGTATAGACACATTTGCTTTTTATCTGTTTTTCAATTTTCCCTGGAAATTGAGATGCACCTACTTAGATATAAAACATATTAGCTTTCTACAGTAAAGAATTGAATTTTGATTTCTTGGATAAACTTATACATAGAAGATACTCTGTCTTTCACTTTCACACATCAGGTCATTTCAGAGAAATTCCTAGGAACCTGCTGCAGACTTCAGATACACTTGAAGTATTCTTTACTGCTTTGCTGTTAACATTATTTCTAACATAACTGATGATAATATTAATAACATAAATAAGATAGAAAGGTCTCATTATCATTAGTCCACAATTGTTACTCTCCCTTCTCAGGGAATGTTTCAAAACTTTATGTGCATATAAATACAATATTTAACTTGTAAAGGTGAGATCACATATGTGCTGCTTTGTATCTCGACAAAATAATGACACAGAGCTTATAGAGCAGTGCTTGGTGGCTCTAGGGTGCTCCAGAATGTGTTTCCATGTCACTGCTGCATCTCATGCCTTCTCAGCTGTTCAGTATACCATTGAATGGTTGGGTCATCATTTACTTATGAGTCCCTTATAATTGGGCATATTTTATAATAAAACTATACATGGTCACATTAAAATTTGGTTTGGAGGACACACATTTTATGACTAATGAATTATACCTCCTTAGTATAGAATTTAGGTGGTGTATTTTGTTTTTAAGCTCATAGAGTGAGTCATTTGTAGTTAAGGCATTGAACTGTTAAATGTTCTTAGGCCAAATTAAAGTTACCATTGGCTTCTCAATGGACATTAGAATTCTTCTTTTTAGGCTGTCCAATGGACAATAGAATTCCTCTTTTAGCGTTTATAGACATTTCATGTCTATAATTCTGCATAGTTATTACTCTATGAGGAGTGAAAATAATGCTAATCTTGGTTGATAGATCAGGACCCAGCACTGAAAGAAACTGGGAGAAAACTACTTTTGAGCAACTGGAACATGCTTGTCTGAGCGTCCTTGAGTGGTAGGCAGTGCCCTACGAAACAGTCCCCACCTGAACCCTTACTCTTCTATTTTAGAAGAGCTGGGATAGACAATACCTAAATATTCAAGTATTTTGGTGGTTTTTTTTTTTTAAATTTTGGTGGTTTTTTTTTTTTTTTTTTTTTTTAGGACAGGAACTACAGGGTTTCACTATGCTGATTAGACTTGTATTGATCCTTCTGTTTTCAGCCTCCCAAGCACTGGGATTATGGGTGCATGACACCATGCCAAGTCTCAATCGCTGTCTCATTGCCCCCCCCTGGGGCCAGGGCTGGAGTCCACTCACCAGGCCCAGGGATCAAAACTGGCCCCTGTGTCTGCCTAAGCAGGTGCTTTCATCCCCTGAGCTATTTGGCCAGTCCTGAATTTTGGGTTTTGAGGTAGTGAGAAGAAGCTGAAATCGGGAAATGATTGGGGAGGAAAACAGTTTTCCCTGAAGTTATGAAAGGTGGCTATCCTTGTGGCATTGCCTGGACAGTCTTTAAAGTGAGCTCCTGTGGGCTCTCATGCTTCCCTATAGAGGGATGGCTCTTCAGGTTTCCCTGAATGTGAATGAGAAGGGGAGGATGGCTACAGTAAGAGTGAAAGGGATTTGAGGCAGAAGTTGGTAGGTTAAGGCTTTTGTGTGCTTTGACCAAGAATGTGAACTTTGTAAGAGGAAAACTTGGGGGGATTACAAGTCTGAGAGTATGTCCTTTAAAATGTCCAGTCAGGCTGGACAGCGGCACAGTGCCTGCCTAGCAAGTGCAAGGTCCTGAGTTTGATTCCTAGTACCACCCCCCGCCCAAACTAAGAAAGTCCAGTCAGCTGCTGACACAGGCATCCATGGAAGCAGGGAGATCGATCTGGTGCTGTGGTTCACAGGAGAGCAGGAGTGGCTTGGAGAAAAAATGAGCCAGTTACCTAAAACAGGCAGATTGAAAGAAATGAGTCTAAAAGTAGGTGAGGCAGATATGAACAGACAAGTCACAAGAAAGGGAATGCAGATGTTTGAGCATATTTCCGCACATAAGAGAAATGCAAATGAAAGCTATGTTGCAGTTTCTCCCCTATTGGGAGAAAATCCAAAACTTGATAGTACTATCTTTGGTGAAGCTGTGGAGGAGTTTGCATTCATACATTTTTTATAGAAATGTGAAATGGTTTGATCCCTTCTAGGGGAATTTGGCACACTACATTGCAAATGCATTTAACCCAGAAATCCTACCTGAAGGAATTGATCTTAAAGGTATACCACAACAACTATGAAGCAGCGTGTGTACAGTTTTTGTTGTTTTCAATAGCAAAATAGTAATAACCCAAATATCTAGTGAGGGACTGAAAACAGATTTATCCATACATGGCTGGCTGGCTGTAGCTGAGTAGGTGTGCATCTATGGGGCTATAAAAGCAATTGAAGAGATTTCTCTGTCCCACAAAGGAGTGATCTCCAGGGTGTGTTGGGGAGAAAAAAGCCAGAGGGAGAACATGCAATAATCTATATGAAAGAAGGGGAGGGAAATAATATTATTTGTTTATTAAAACAAACACTGCAAGGAATTCTTGGCAATTGTGTGTGATTGTGTGTGTACTTTCCCTTCAGTGGGTAGCCGAAGCATATTTTTGCAAAGATGTTATTTAGCATGGGTTTTCCACTAAAATATTAAATGTTCACTTTTTTGCTCTTGAGGTTAGTAGTGAAAGTTTTGTTTTGTAATTGTGTATTATATACTATGTAGATTGATCTTGTATTTCATTTGATTCTGAGTATTTTGAATTAGGTAGCATAGGAATTATTCCTATTTTACATGTGAGAAGGAAGTATAAATTGAGTTTTCCAAGATTTTGTACAGTACAACTTGGTAGATCGGCTTGTCTATCAGTATAGAATTATAGATTGACTCATGTGGTTATTTGTGTGTGTGTGTGTGTGTGTGTGTGTGTGTGTGTGTGTGGTACCAGGGGTCAAACTCAGAACCTCGTGCCTGCCAGGCAAGCACTTATGCCACTGAGCTATCTCCTCGGCCCTCATAGGGGTTTCTTTAGTGCCTATCTCTTCTCTTACCCTCTTCTCCCCAGGATAATAAGGTAATTAAATGTTAGCTAAAACAGTAACATTGGACAGTGTGCCGTGAAACAGAAGTAATAACTTTGAGCCTAGAAATGTTTTTAGAAGTTTTATGAAATTGAGTAAACTGCTCCTAAAAATACATAGAGGAAAAAAAAAGTATATTAAAGTATGTGAAATGTTATATTTCAGTCACCATCACTAAAATGTTGATCAAGGTTAGAAAAGGGCAAGACAGAACTGATGCAGAGGCAGATCGCAAAGTGGATCGGCATCCAGAGGCTGCGGCAGGGGAGCCAGCCGGGCTGGAGTGAGAGAAGACCAGGGCTGTGGAGCTTTGTGCTCTGCGGGAGGCGGATGGGCAATGTGGACTCAGGCAAGATCAGCCAGACTCGCGTGTTTGTATTATGGACCATAAAACGTTACAGGAGCAGGTCAATAAATGCAGTGAGCCTTTAAATGAACAGGTGCCTAGCAGTGGGCTCAGAAACTGCTGACATCTGTGCAAGCGGAGTGTGTTAAAATTGGTCTCTTTTTTCTGAAATATGCTGTTTTTGTCAGTTAATACCTTGGTCACTGTCCACTTGCTCAATGTTTTAACATTTTCATGACAGCTTATGTATAGTTTGATAAGTTTAATACTTTCAGCTTTTAGTAATGCATTTCATTTATTCTGGGTTGCATGCGTTTTCTTACATTCTTATCTGTAATTTAGAATCTTAGGCTAGGGGAAAGCAGTATTAGATAGCAGTAACATTTTGAAGATTTCTTCTTCTACAACACATTTAAATTAAGAATGGATTTTAAATTTTTAAGTTTTGTTTTTCTATACCAGTCCAGTAAGATGTCAAATTAAATTGCAAAATTGCAATTTAAACTAATAAGAAAAGGGGTGGATCTTACAATGGAGTTTTAATCATAATCCTGAATCATGAGATGAAGAATATTTTCCTGGTTTAAATAAAATACTGTTAGGGTTTAACATTTTTAAAGCCTTCACATAAATGATGAATGGTAATTGATGTTTTTATTCTCTTGACTTCTTTTTTTTTTTTTTTTGGCGGAACTGGGGATTGAACTCAGACCCTTGCGCTTGCCAGGGAAGTGCTTATTCTACTGAGCCATCTCCCTGGCCCCTTGACATCTCTTTAAATGTCTGTGTATGCATCCATGTTTATAGGGCCTAATGCCTTGCTCATTAGTTGATAATCTCACAGTAATGAAAATACAATGGAATGATTCATCAGTCTCCTTAGGTTCTTAGAAATAGTTCATGGAGAGTGCAGAAATGATAATAATGTGTATGCATTTACTGCCTAATGGCTTAAATGTCCATTCTATAAAATTGCAATGTGTTGTATTTATCAATAGCTGAAAGTAGAAGTTATAAAGAAAACTAGTGGCTACGAGCAAAATAAGTCTTTTCTGAAAACAGTATACAAATGACACTGTTAAAGCTCTAGTGGATGCAGTATCTGCAGCACACACAGTGACATAAAAATCACCAAAGTAAAAATATTAATTACAGAAGAGTGATTAAACTGTATAGTTCAATATATGCAGACTACACCCACATTGAGGTTTGTCATTCACATCAGCAGGCAGTTAGAGTATTCAAAGCTCAGATAGAAGTTAAAACTGGTACAGTTGGTAGCAATACCCTAATGTGCTTTAGGCACCATCCAGTGTCTTAGCACTGTATATCAAACAGTTAAATCAGTCCTACCTTTTGGTGTCATATCTTCACTTTTGAAAATATTTTCTGAAGGAAAAAATAATTTAAAAATTCTATTTACTTGATGATTTTTCTTGGAACTTTCTAGAAGCCTACATTCCCAAACAGATAGGGGATTATTAAGTATAGAAGTAACACTTGCTGCATCACTATACATTAATTAAATAGTAAATATGTTGGAAAGGGAAGAGCTTATTTTTCTCTAATAGGATATAAATTGTATACTAATAAGGGTTTTTGTTATGCTTTGGGGATGTTTTTGGTGCTTTTTTTGGTTGCAGTATTGGAGGTCACCCTCAGGACATTGTGTATAGTAGGCAAATGCTTTACCTCTGAGCTGTATCCTCGATTAAGTTTATTGGTATAATTTAGATGTACACAGTGATCATATTCGTCATAGGAAATTTGTACCTATACAAATTGATGTATAGTACAAATTGATGTATCTTGTTTTCTTGTTTTTGTCTAATCCCATCCCATGCAACCATTCTTTCTCTCCTCATTTGTAAAGCTTTGTTTCCATTTTATCCTTTTATCATTTTTCCCTTTCCCTTCTACCCCCTCTCTAGGAGTTCCACTTTCTTTTAAACCATTTCTTCCTATTTCACTATACCTATTACACAGTTTGATCCTTATTTACTCTTGAATTCTCGCACCAAAGAAACAATGCAGGATTTATACATGTGTGTCTGATATATTTCGTTTAAGAATATGGTCTCAAGGTGCATCCATTTACCTAGAAATGTCTGAAATTTATCATTCTTTATGACTGTGTAGTACTCCATTGTATTAAAACAAGCACATCTTTTTTAAATCCATTACTTGGTTGATTGGCATTTGGGTTGGTCCCAAGATTTAGTTATTATAATCTATGCCACTGTAAACATGGGTGTGCATATATCAGTGTGATATGATGATTTTAATTCTCCAAGAGCTATTTTTAAAACATGCATAAGAAAAGAAACTAAAAGTAGCGATTGCTTGTCCTGATAGTTTTTAAAGCATGTTTTGTCTGTTCCTGGTGTTCGTTCAGTGAACATTTGGCTACCTCTACCTTGACTGTGATCATCAGTACTGCTGAATAACCAGATCTCTTATAGATTGAAGAAGAACTATTTCAAAGTAGACTTGTATAAGCAAAGAGTTCACAAGTCATTCAGGTACAACTTGACCCAGAAATGAAATGACCTCTAGATCTACCTCAGTCCTTTTTCCCTCTGTTCATGTCTCCTGAAAAACTTTCCTTTCATGATGGTAAAGTTAGTTAGCCACTGGCAGCTCTTAGTTGGTCGCCAGGCTAGCTCTGCTTTTCTCTTCTGGTTCTTGGGAAATCTCAAGAGAGCTGCAGTTGATTGGCTAGCTCTGGGTCACATACCCAACCTAAAACTTTGGGTGAAAGGAAGGCCAGACTGTCAGAGTGAGCCTATGTTTCCTTTTTGTGTGTGTGTGTGCTGTCCTTTATTTTATTCCAGCCTTCTTGAATTTTGTTTTTAGCTTCATAGTAGAACATCTTCAGTTGGGAGGTGTATGTGCATGTTGTAAGCTTTCTGCTCTGAATCTGAAACTTAGTTTTCTTGAATTTCAATTATAATTTTGAATTACGTACTGTGGCTCTTTTATAAGCTGTTTTCTGATAGTTTAGTATCATTTGAAACTCAAGTGGCAATGTATTTGCTTCATTTTTGGTTGGAGGTAGTCCTAAGTCCTTTCAGAAGCTTTTGGTCAGAGACAGCTGAAAAAGCCTCTGCCAATCACATTGTGCACACAGTATTTTGTTTTTCTCATAGCTAACATTGCCTCATCTTCTCAGAGATGTAAAACAACTTTTAAAATACTTTTTGTGTGAGTCCTTTTAACACTGGTTTATATCTGTGCATTTTGATTTTGTAAGATATGTATAGTATGTTGTGATTTGATGACCGAATCCCCTTTCAAGAAATAGAACAATTATTGACAAGTATTGTTAAACCATTGTTCAATCTAGATCTTTATCCTGTGTCTTACAAAATTGCTTACGATACTACTGGCTTGAGATAACTTTCACTATCCCGTGTAATGGCAAAATGTTTATTATATTATTTGAGAATCTGTTTTGTAGTCTTAACCAAATAGATTTTCTATCTCACTTTAGTCCCAAGGGGTACTGTAGAACAAAAGAAATGAGAGTTTAGCCTTGGAAATGAAAGACAGACATGTTTGTATCTTTCTTATTGTTTTGTTTTGTTTGACTTGGAACTCACAGTGATCTTTCTGCCTCAGCCTCTTGAGTGCTAGGATTTCAAGTGTGCACCACCATGCCTGGCAGAAAACCAGTTTGTTATGGGAGTATTTGTATAATTTGGAAATTTTATGTAGGCCTTAAAATCTGCCATGATGAGATACGCCCCACCCCCCAAAAAAAATTGGTCAGGGCATCAGTAGCTGTTTGAGATTGTTCCTGAAATGAGGTAGAAATACCAGCACAGAGGAGTGCATTTAAGTTTCTACTGGATAAATAAGAGGGAGGACATATGTTCACTCGATGTATTGAAAAGTTGCATTAGATTATTTTGATACAACTTTTAAAAAGTCTTAGAGCCTGCTTTTATTCTACATGTATACAGTTTTACACTTCCACAATAGAGTTTCTATATGTTGCCTTTATTTTATAACTAAATCTTTTTCCAAGTACTGTTAAAAGTGATTAAAGCTGTTGTGTGGCTATTTTAAAACCATCAACATTTTTATTGTGAACTAAATGATCACATCTTGTTTTCCTCCTCTATAGATTTAGCTTTGGAATCAAACCCTTCTGACCATCCAAGGGCAAGCACAATTTTCCTGAGCAAATCTCAGACGGATGGTAAGACATGTTTTTCCCATCAAGCATAAGGTTAAAACTATATTTTATGTGATATACTTTGGAAAATATTTTGAAGAACTCAGACGTCGATTTAAATTATTCACCTTTTCATCCATTCATTAATTTTAATAGGTGATAATTATTCTCTTTTAACTGTCGCTCTTGTAGTGAGAACATGTGGCTTTCTTGTTTATACATTTTCACAGCTCTTTATCACTACAGTAGTGGACTACATGATTTGTAAGTGGTCATGGACTTACTCTGTACTGTTTGGCCTTTTTCTACTTGTTCCATAGAGCTTGTCTTAAAGACACATGATAAGTTAGACTGCATCAGGTGTTCATGTGTTTAGATTTTAAAAATCGGATATATATATATATATATATATATATATGGATTGAATCAGGGATATTTGACCTTGCTTTATTATACAGTGCTCTAACCAAGTGAACCTATCTCACATCCTCATGTATGTTACTCAGAACTTTTAAGCTACCCAAAACTGCATCCTAATGTAATGAAAATCAGAGCATACGCAATAGCCCACGAGTAGTTCCTAAGTTAGCCAGTGTGTGAAACTCTGGTGTTCATTTTCTGTGTTCTGCTAGTTTTAGAGTGAGAATCAGAACTGTATGATTTTTGTGCACCTCTGCTCTTTTTTCTTAATGTTTGGTTAAAATCTTTTTTCCCCTTGAAAATCCGTACATGATCACATTTTAGTTGATTATAGCAGGAATTTAAGAAGTGAGCATTCTATAATGATATTTGTAGTAATGCAGCACAGTAAAAACTGAAGGTTTCTTACCTGCACTTTCATAGTTTATGTGTACTTTGGCCTGTGTTCAGCTGGTTCCGGTTAGCACTGTTCTGTTACTCGGTTGCTTCAAAAGTGATAGCTTCTCAGCTGGAGTGTGAGGAGACCCTGAAAGCTGTGCCTTGTGCCTGGCTTCATTGGAAAGGAATGTGTGCCTACAGTGCCTTCTAGCGCCAGGAGGCAGCGTGGCCCAAGTCTCTTCAGCATTTGCTGTTCTGGTCTTTGTTAGAGCAAAATTAATCTGTGTGCTTTAGATACAGCGTTCAATTAAATTATCACACTCATTTAACAACTTAAATTTAAGATAAAAGTTGCCTTTCAGTTGTCTAAAGATCCATTAATTTTTTTCAGTAACACGTTTTAGTCCATTGCCAGTAGGTGATTCAGGACACTCCCGGGGATTTGGTGGGCAGAAATTGGTGACTGGCCAGATAGTGTTTCTCAGAGATGTCTACCATTGGATGCTGGTAATTAAAGTGCATAGGAATGTAGAATTAGAAAATACTCTATTTGGTAAAGTCTGTGTAATTGTTCAGGTGTGCAGTAGGTGAGTGAACTCTTTTTAGTTAAATTTCTCACCTAGTCCACTTTATTTTGTACTTTTGTGTGTGTATGTATATGTGTGTGTGTGTGTATGTTTCCTCATTTCTACCTAATATTACCTGTTACGTAAAAAAGATAAAAATAATCCTGATTTGAATTTTATGAAGCTAATTTTCCCAGTGATTTAAATTATTTTGTTAGAAATTATCTTTAAAAAATGGAGTTTTATCTCATTTTGCATATTGATAATATGTCAGATAATTAGTATCTACTTTTATTTTTCTATAACATTTTATATAGAATTGATCAGTTAATTTTTTTTATTCATAGTGCGTGAAAAGAGGAAGAGCAACCATTTAAACCATGTAAGTAAACAATTCAAAAGTTAAAAATTAACAATTTGTATATTAGAACTATTATAATTAATATAATTAAATTAAAAGTATATCTCTCTGTCATGATTTCTAAAAATTATAATGGGAATCTAGTTCTGTTATTATGAACCTCTTTTGTGGATTTTCTAAATCTCCTTTTTCCTAAATATTATACTTAGGAAAGTCTTTGACTTAGTAATGTACATTTTTTAAGGGTTCATTCTGGCATTTAAGTTAAATATCAATAAGATGACTATAAAGATGTGCTTGAAATTTTTTACCCTAATTTTTTAGTCTTTCTTTTCAAAGTAAACTATGTAATAAATTCACTTTTTAGTTCTGTTGGTTTTCTGTTACAGGTGAACATGAGTGCCCTCATTCCATTGTGGCCTTACTTCGGTTCTTTGGCAGTATCAATTTTTAATTAAATCACTAATTGATATTTACTTTATGACCATCTGCTGCTGAGTTGTGTATTTCTTTGTGCTGCCTCCTTGTGCACCCTTAATTCTTCCTCGTGAAATATTTCTGCAGTCCAAGTGCTTCTGTCCTCCTACATAATCCTCCTTCTCCTAGCCAACATAAGATCACGTAGTTGAGTACAATAAGTAAGTCCCTGGCAGGTCTCCCATTTCACATTTGTTCTTTTTTATGGATTAATTTCCAATTTTCACATGTCTGTTTTCTTTTTGGTGTGTGTGGGGGCATGGCTTAGCCTGCCCTGGGAGTGGGGCTGGCGCAGAATGTGGTGCCCAGGATCGAACCTTGGTCCCTGTGCTTGCCTAAGCAGGCACTTTAGTCTATTGAGCTATCTCACCAGGCCCACACTTGTCTGTTTTTTAACAGCTGTTTTTCCCCCAAAATGCTATAACATTTGTCACATGCCTATCAAAAATATTTTCCATCTCTTAAAACATGTGTTTTCATTTTTCTACTGGTGGCAGCCTTCCTTGGCCTTCTGTCCTTGTACTCCAGTATGTTTGTTTTGTTCTTAGGTCTGTTCTTTCGCCTTTGTTTTTTTTTTTTTTTTCTTTCCTTTCTTTTTTTCTTTCTTTTTTTTTTGTTGTTTTTTTTTTTTCAGTACTGGGCATTGAACTCAGGACCCCTGCACTTGCCAGGCAACCACTTATTCTACTGAGCTGTCTCCCTGGCCCCCAGTTCTGCTCTTTCTCTGGGATATCTCTTTGAGGTCATCTGGGATCTCACATAACTATACTCTTGTGTTGGATTCTTTGTGTCATAGATTCAGTTTCTCCTGTCTGGCTACATGCCTTTTTTTTAATGAGAGCATATTTTGTTTGTGTTTGGAGAGAGGGTCTCACTGTGTAGTTCAGGCTGGTCTTGAATCCAGAGCAGTCCTCCTGAGTGTTCCTTTGGAAGCCTCCTGAGGAGCACATGTTCTCAGGAAAGGTATATGGATTATTTTATCTATCTAGCTTGTTGGGAAACCCCTCCTATTTGGTAAAGAGTAATTTGTAAGTTGAAACTAATTTTCATAATGTTCCTCTGATTTCAGTGTTGCTATTAAATCTGTTGCCACTGTATGATACAGTGTACCTAATAGGTATAGTCATTTCCTCCACCCTCTTTCTGGAAACTTGATATCTTCTCTACCTCTGGAACGCTAGAATTTCATGACAGTTTATTGTGGACCTTTAAATCCAATTTGGTCTATTAGATCTGCAGATTCTCTTCTAGAGAGTATTTAAAAAATAAATAAAATTCTTGATTTTTTTTTTCCCCTTGTCATTTTATTTAGATATTGAGCCTCTTAGGCCAATATTTTTACACCAATGTCAAGTTTCTCCCCATTCTTATTTGGTAGTTATTCTATTTTTTAGGGAGTCCTTGATTCTATGTTTTAGCCCTTCTGTTGAGTTTTTGTTTTTGTTTTTGTTTTACTTTTCATTTGTTCCTGAATTGTTAGCACTCGCACAAATTCCTTTTTCCTGTTGTCTGCCCTCTTTGTTTGAGGCATCCCTCAAATATATGGCTGTCCCTTGTGTTCTCTGATCAGAAGTACCGTATATGAGCAGGACATTTGTTAACTGATGTGTCTCACAGTGAGGGTTTGAAGGCAAAGCCAGCTTTGCATTTGTGGACCCTCAGTGTCTTCTCTGGGACAGAACTCATCAGAATGAGCTCTCAGTCTCCTGTCTGCGGAGCACAAGTTGGGACTGCTTGCTTTCCAGAAATTTGAAAGGAGGTAGTGTTCCAGTGCACAGTATACAGTCTCTTTCCTCTTATTTTCTAGCTTTCAGTCCTGGTACACCTGAGACTGGTATATCTAGACCCAGCAATAAGTCAAGTTTAATATCTCTGTAGCGTGAATACCTCAATGCCTTACAGGTGGAGGATGGATGGGCTTGGGCTGTACCCACAGATTTCCACCCACCTTCCTCCCCTTTGCTTGTGTTTCACTCCAAGCTCCTGTGTGCTTTGGAGTTGGGAGCCTGCTCTGCATTCTGCAAGACAAGCTGACAGGCTGTTCCTGTCCCAGTCACCTTTCATAGCCACCAGAGTTTGCTTCCATGGTTCTTCCATAGTCTTCCAGCCCTTTATCTGCTTTTTACCTTTCAAACATTAAAACTGTCAAGCCTCTCTCTTGACCTGCATATAGCACTTATTTTATGATTTCAGGAAGAAGGTGAAATATTTGTGGTCAGTCCACCGTGTTAAAATGAACACGGATGAATGTAGAACCTTAAAGAGTAAATCTTAGTTTAAATTCAACATCACTCAATGATATTAACCAAGAGTCTGTAAACTACACCTCTAATTAGCATATACTAAGGTCTGAAGAATACTGTTCAAACCACGCATCTTGCCATAGTGTCCCAGCATTGTGAAACGCAGATGGAACAGTTTCCATGTGTAGAGCGCTGGAGAGTTTCAAGTTAATTGAATCATTAATTCTTTAAAAAACATCCAGCATTTATCTTGCTAAAAAAAAAAAGAGAGAGAAAAGTGAATGTCTTATTGTTTTAATAGGTTAAAATAGAAGCAAGTAGGCATATTGGGAAAAGTCAGGGGTGAGGAGAGGATTTCAGCAAGTATTCACTTTACTGCTAAGATTGGGGTTATAACCTAGTTATAACCTAGTAGATGCTAGATGTGATTTTCCTAGTTACTGTCATTTGACTGTAAGTCTATAAGTATCCCCTTTCCTTTCCTGTAAAGATTGCAAAATTCCATACTCTATCATTTATACTGACTGAATGAAGATAAATATTACTCTGTCTCTATTTTAATAACCACCTGCCAGTGTTGTTTTTGCTGTTCTTTTTAATATTTGCATTGTATAGCCTTATGTTTGTCAGTTTATTTTTTTTAAGGTTGTGATCCAGCAATGGTAAGCTTTTAACCATAAAAGGAGATTGCTTTAACTTTTAAGCAAGATGAAGGGAAAGACTTGTTAGCAGCTATTTCCTGACCTTTGCTATGAGGCTTAATTTTGCCATCCTCTGGTCTCAAGATTGAAAAGTTAGAATAGCTAAAGTGACCATTGTGCCTGTCCCCTGCTGCATGTTGCTGAGCAAAGAGTCTATGGTCAGCTTTTCTGAACACCTTAATGAGTGAGCAGGGAGTATGTGACAGTGACTTTCTCTGAGATGAGAGGAAGCCTGACTTAATAGGGATGTGCTCAGTGTTTCTTTGGCTGAGTCTAGGAGGTTGTCGGTTCTCTAAATGAACTTCTGTAGGACTGTGAAACCACATCTCACTAAAAACACCAATATTTTCAAAGAAAGCCAGTGTACATCCATAATAGGGCAGTAGTAACTAAAGGAAAATGGGCAAAATTATCACGTAAAGCTATACCAGCTAGTCTAGATTTTGACTCATTTCCACTGTTCTTTTTATCCCCACAGAGATTTTTCATTAGCATTGATTTTTGTTAGTGATGGAGAATATATACCATGTTACCTGTAATATAGTATGAATACCCCTAATTTACAAATCCAGAATCCTCCAGAAATCTAAAGCTTTTTGAGTGCTAACCTGCCACTGCAGATTGAAAATTCCCAGCTGACCGTCATGTGACGACTTTGCTGAAAATACTATATAAATTACCTTTAGGCTCTGCATATAAGATACATATGAAAGCATAAGGAATTTTGTGTTTAGACTTAGGTAGATCCCATCCCCAATATTGTTTTTTTTAAAAAATTCTGAGCACTTCAGATCTTGAACAATTTGAATTTAAGATATTCCATCCGTACTAGTGAACTTAAAAATATCTCTTGCATATTTAATAAAAATATTTGAATAAATCACTTTTTGTTTTTTGAAATTATGAAAGTATACACATTAACATGGTTAATGAAATCTGTATACCTTGACTAAGTAGTTTAAGAATCAGAGTTTAGGTACAGTTAAAATATTTGTCACTTGAAGGGAGGAATTTAGCTCCCCAAATAGTCACACTTTCCAAAAAATACATCTGGGTCTTTCTATTCATAAGAATTAAGTGGCCTTACAATGAAGGCAGCTGAGACAAACAGGGCTGAGCAGGCATCCTGACCACAGGCTCTTGGCGGTGATTGCCTGCAGTGTGCTTCTAACCAGATTTCTTGTCTGCCTCATCTTTTGTATGTCGGTGGAGAATACTAATGGGAGAGAGTGATAGCAGGAGGGAAAACATTGTTTTAATAGGATGAAGGAAGGCTCATCTGAATTAGTTGGGTTGGCTTTTTTTTTTTTTAGAACTTTAAAATTTTTGCTAATTCTGTGGTTTTAAAGAATGTTGCTATTAATCTTGAGCTATTCAGACAAGATTTGGTATTAGCTTTTAAGGAAAAAATTGTAACATAGGTTAGGGTGTTCCAGTATTTGACTATTGTTATATTATTTTATTCTTTGCAAATAAATGGATACTTCTAAAGTGTTTTAAAGATAGTTTATTCTTTAGAGGGCTGAAGAAGTTCGTTGCAACCACCGCAGCTAAACTGATAGGTATCTGTAGGCTGACTTGCCTTCCAAATTGTAATTGATTCTTAATAATTTGTGAAACTCCTGGTTTGTCCTGTATTCTGTGCTCAGCAGCAGGAGGTAGAGCAGTAAGAATCCTCCCTTCTCTGGAGAAGCTTAGTTTTTTATGGGGAGGATACTCCACAGCAGGCAGTTGATGTCCTGTTATGATGGTGAGCTGGAGGATAAATTTTCAGCAAAGGGGAAAGTTCTGTGCTGTGGCTGCTAGGAGAGGGGTCCCGAAAGGTAGTGGGGTCAAGCTTCTGGGACAGGGAGTATGAAAAGGCACTCTAAACAGAGAGTGCATGCTTGAGGCGGGAAGGCTGAGGTTTTCATTTGAGTAATGTAATGATAGTCTAGTTAAACGTGAAGTGAAGGTTGAGTTTCCAAAGTTGTTTCTGTCATCTATTTTGTTTTTGAGAGAATCTTTTAAAAAGTAGTAATGTTACCCTCCACCCAAGGGAAAAGGCCTGGAGGAACCTGTGGCCTGTGCTTTATAAGTGATTGAGCAGCCCTACTACACAGAGCCTTTAACTCTAACGCACTTGTGTCATCTCATGTAGTATCAGCAGGTTAAGTATTAGGCTTTTACTTGCTTCAGTAAAGTGCTCTTCTACCAGTAATATAAGACATTATATCTTATGCTAGTTACCAAACAGTAGAAATAGAAAGTCTTGGCTACTTTGTATTAAGAGAAGAACAGCAATAACTTATTTTAAACATTTTATGATACTTGTAAAGGGAATTCATAATAGATGCTTGCCAGGTTTGATTAAGGGCAGCATTTTATAACCCATACCTCAACCACCACCTGTGGAGGTCAAGAGCCTCCAGTGCATTCCTGTAGAGGCACACATGGAATCTCACTCAGGCAGCTCATGCAGTGTAAGAAATATCTTAATGCTTTATCGTTTGACATTTTAACCCAGGGAAAAAGACACATTTTTTAGGTTTAACTTACTGTGACATTTTCTTCTATTTCCCTTCCCCTTCAGGTATCTCCAGGGCAGCTTACTAAAAAGTATAGCTCATGCTCAACAATATTTCTAGATGACAGCACAGTCAGCCAGCCTAATCTTAGAACCACAATAAAATGGTGAGTACAACTAGGTTGCCAAGGGCTAAGTGACAGACCCCCTTCTGCCAAAAAGCATTCCAGCCATCCTTGGTGCTTTCAGCCATTTGACTATCCTTCTCAGCACTCGGTTTAAGAAGTTGGGGCCAAATGTGATTTTTCAGCCTTCATTTTAATCTCAGACTGCATGGTGCAAGGGAAAGCCAGTTAGCAGATGAGGAATCCCAAGAATGGTATACCTCTTTATTTGATGCATTTATGTTGTTGAGACACTGTTGAACACAATAAGAAGTGCTTTTTATTGGGTGTTTGTAGAAACCAAGTCATTCTGTGAAGCTGAGGGCCTAAAGCAGTTTTCATCACTTTGGGAATCACTTGAACTAGGGACAGCTGGTCCTCTGCTGGTACTATAGCATATCTGTGTTTGGATTGTTCCCCATCGCAGGTGAACATGGGTCACAACTGGAGATGCGTTATCAGAATGTCCTGACAGGAACCTTTTAAGCTTATTAAAGTGAAAAACAAGTGTACGGCTTCCCCGCCACATGAGAGTTGTCCAGGGAACATTATTAATGTCTCCTTGGGTTATGAACGTTGATTATCAGAAGACAGGTCACAAATGCTTTTTTAGAATATTAATATTCTTTGTCCCTAACTTAAAGTAGAAAATATAATTAGCTTATAAACCTAATTTTGTTTCTAATATGTCAGCTTTTTAATTTTTAGCTCATTTAAATTACTGATAACTTCTATTAAGAACTACACATTCACACTCAAAGTAATGTAACTTTCCTCTCAAATTTATACTAGTTGAATTGAATTGTGTTTCAACAAAACTGAGCCTTTCTAAAGTCCCAAGATTTGGCACCTGTCAAGTAATCACTGATGTTTATATTCAGCCAAGGCCCTAAGTCCATGAGTAAAAAACCACTCTATTTGAATAAAGGTCCTCAGCTGCTTTTAAATTCAAAACACCGTGATGCTTCAGTGTATAATTCAACATGTAGTTCTAAAGAGTAATCTTCCTCAAGCAAATGAGCTTCATATCCCCCCACCTTATTTTATTTTCTAGAAACTTACAGTAACTAAAAGTTTACTTTGTTTTCAGTATATTTTTAAAAATAATCTTTTAGTATATTCATTATTGGTTAAATGTTCTCTAATAGGCAGATTTACTTCTAGAGAAGATTCTTTTAATGCCATGAGATAATAGTGCAATGTTTTAAGTAGGTAAAACTTACTAGAATTATGCAGCATTTCCAAAATACTGCACGTCTCCAGACACATGCATTTTTTTCCACCTTCATCTTCTCTTCCATCTATAGGCATTCACAAGCCTCCTAGGAAGTTAGGGATGAAGATGAGGTGTAATTGTTTAGATGAAAGCATTTGGAGTGATTATAATGTTAACTCTTAAGTCATTCCCGAACTTGGCTGCATGTTGGGGTCCTGCAGGAAACAATCTTGGCGCCCAGGTCACGCCCAGTGTCCATCTGTCAGCATGTGTCAAGGTCAAGATAGGCCGATAGTGAAGCTCCTCCAGTGGTTCCACTGCTTACATGCGGGGAGAGCCGCTCCATTTGGTGGGGCCTTGGGCGAGGCAGCTTCAAGCCTTGGTTCCCTTCTCTGTAAGATGGATTGTTGGATGAAGTGTCATGTAAGACTTGGTGGTCCTCTTCAGCACACAAAGTCAAATTCTGTGGTTTTAAACTCAATTTAGAGACAAAATTGAAACACTATAGAAGTATCCATCTTTGTCGGTAATAACTTTTTGAATTTTAAAATCTAAAATACTGTATATACTTCTAAAATTCAGATTTGCCTTCCCTCAATTATTTTGACCTTCATTTTTGACAGCAAGGGCGAATGGAAGCATATAACGCACCTCAGAGAACCCCTTGTTCCCTGACACACAACATATGTGCATTATTGGGGAAGCTGTAATGTGAGGGCTGGAGAGTTGTGTCTGTTCACTAATAGTTCAGTTCATTTCACTTGAAATGTCTGTCAGTGTTATACTCAGTAGTTATGGTGCATTGTTGTCACTGATTATTTCAGGGCAGCTTGACTTACAGTTTGTAGGCACTTATACTTACTAATAAATTTTCTAATAATCATGCAAAAGTGATTTTAAATTACATTTCTTGATGTATAGCAGTTTCATTTATTTTTGAGCGAGGTAATGAAAATGGTGGGTAGGTGAAATAATGAACTAAATGAACTGAAATGTAGGGCCAACTACTTTTTAAAAAAGACTGTGTGGCTTAAAAGTAAGTGTATGTACAGATAGCTGTCTGAATGTGTGCAGGGTTGGAGGTTTATGGGTAGAAAGGCAAATGAAGGGGAAATATGCAGCGTTATGTTCTAACCTACAGAAACAGGTCTTCTCATAGCACATCACTTAGCATCTTTGGTTTATTTTTGCTACATGTCAAAGAACAAAAAAAGCTAAAACAAGGGAAAATACCCATATGGTGCTGCTGTGAACTGGAGGATTTCAGGGATGCTGAGGAGACCCCCCAGATCCCTTCAGGCCTAACACGTGATAAAAACATTTGTTACAAAAATTTTTTTTTTCCTTCTACAGTGTGACCTTAGCAATATATTACCACATAAAGAACAGGTGAGCTTTGTAAAAACCTGTCTTGTTATTCCAGCTAATTTGCATGATACCAGCTATAGTATTAGATCATAACTATAGACTCATAGTGTCACTTTAATGTGATTTTTAAAATGATCATACTGTGGTTTTGCTACAGTTCTTTTTATTGTAATTTTATGAGTGATTTTATTCTAGTACTCAAGTCACCTAAGTTTGTTGTTGTTATAATTAGGTCTCTTTTAAAATGTTTTAAGGTTGTGAAGATCCCAAAGAATATTTGTTTCTGTGGATTATATTAATGTTTACTGTTTTAGAAATTAATACTGAAATTAGATATTAATTAGAAATTATAATTTCATATATGTGTATACATGTGGCATGTTAACTCTGGGTTCTTATCCTTGATACCTTCCTGTTTTGAACTAGGTAACTCTATTGTGGTAGCACTATAGGATGTTAACAGTGTCATGTTCTCTGCCTACTAGATGCTGGTGGCATTTTCTTGTGTGTTATGGCAACCAAACCTGTCCATTGTGGGACATAGTCCACGCCCCATTATGAGCCACCTTGTTAACATAAATATCTTTAAAAATTTATTTGTTGATACAGGGTCTCACTATGTAGTTTGGACTCATAGTGATCCTCTTGTCTCAGCCTCCCCAGTGCTGGGATTACAGGTGTGTGCCATCATGCCCAGTCTCAATTGCTGTCTTGAGTACGCCCCAGGGCTGGAATCAGTACAGCTTGTGGGGCTGGGGATTGAACCCTGGTCCCTGTGATCTGCCTAGGCAGGCACTTTAGTCCACTGAGCTATCTGGCAGGCCCTAAAACAATATTTTTGAACCTTTCAGATAATTGTGGATATTCCTTACTATTCTATTAAATACCACAAAGGTTAGTTTTAGAAATTACAGTGGAATTTCAAAATTGTGTCACTGAACTTGTTTTATTAATACTCATTGATCTACTGTATCTTACACAATTTGTAGATTTTTTTTTTTTTTACCAGTACATGATTTTATAATATGCATTGGTCATTTTGGACAATATTGGTTGTCATTTCTTTATAATGTCAAAACTCACTTTTGTTAGTATTGCCACCAGTTTTATTAAAAAGTCCTCCATGAGGTCAATCCCAGGTACTGGGAGAAAAAAAAAAAAAAAAAAAAAAAGTCCTTCAGTATTGAGAAGCTGTCAAATGCAGAGCAGAAAGTACCGGTTTTCCAAAAATCTTAAGTTTTGGAGTTTTTTTTTAGCTTGACAAATTGAATTTTGTCAGTGATAACAAATAGAGGTTATTTTTCCTTCGACAGGCCCTTTATGTTCAATAGTATTCTGTAATAAGTAGCTTGTTCAGCTCACAGCTAAATCGCAAATGCTCTTAACAACTGTACTTAACTATATGTAAGTGGTTCATGTGAACTTCGCACTTCCTTAAGAGTATTGAAGAGTCAAGATTTACTAGCATTAGTTTTTGCTGCTTAGTCAAAGAAGCAAGGCCTGTTTTTGTTCTGCATTTTTTCTTTTGTAGGGGGTTGTTGAGGTAATGTATTATGCTGTAATTCAGGCTGACCTTGAACTAACTATGTAGGCTAGGCTGGCCTTGAAATCCATGGCAGTACTACTGCCTCAGCCTCTGCCAGGGTAGAGTGCCACTATGTCTGGCTCTTTTTTTTTTTTTTTTTTTTGTATTTTAGTATAGGGTCTCACTAAATAGATCGAACTCATAGTCATCTGCCTGTGTTCCACTCCCAAGAGCTAGGATTATAGGCATGCCCAGTCTCTGTCTTAGCGCACCCTGGGGGCAGGGCCAGCATGGCATGCGGTGGTGGGTTGGACCCCGGCCCCTGCATCTGCCTAAGCAGGCGCTTTAATCTGCTGAGCTATTTGGGTAGCCCTCTTTTTTTTATAAGTACAAGTCACACTGAAAAAAGGAAGGATTACTAGTATAATGTACTTTAGTCTTGATTCATGCTGCAAAATAAAATTTGTTCATTTTTGCTTTTCTACATACATCCAAAAAGGGAAAATAAGTGTAGTAATGTCTTAATAGTTTGACCATATGCATAATCCTGAATGAAAGTCTTAAGGGATCTCAGAACCACTGGTTTAAATGAAAGTAATACTTTAATGAATTTTTAAGGCTGATCTCTTTTAAAATAGAGAAGCAGCTAAATTTTTATATACTAATAAAAATAAGAAATACATGATAAAAGCATAGAACACTAAAGAGAGGGGAAACTTGGGAAACCTGGATCTCATTCACATATGTTAAGAGCTTTGAAGCCCTGATTGCCCATCATCGCTGCCTTGTGAAAGGAGTAAAGCTGTATTTGGTTCAGTAGTGTTGCTAGTTTGAGTCATTACTTATAGCTGGTTATTGTAGGAAAAGTTTCATAGTACTTGATGCACTGAGTAAAAAGGAGTCTTAAGGCCAGAATTTAGGAGTAGATATTGTGAAACTGTTTCCTTTATTGAAGGTTAGGCTTCTCCCTCCATCCGTCTCTAACCCTAAGATTTTTACTAAGATATTAATGGTTCCTGAATTAATTTTTAAATGTGCATTCTTACTTTACAGAGATGCAAATAGATCCCTGGATATTTTTGATGAGCGGTCACATCCACTCACAGTAAGTGTCACTTTGAGGGTTGTATTGTTCTCTTGATGAGTTGTGTTTTATTTGGGTTTGCATTGGCATTAATCAGCAGAAGAATAGTTACAGAGAAACAAGACTTTTCAATCTAAAAATGAATTTGAGAATTCTGTAGGGAAAATGGAAATGAACTCCAGTTTATTTTCTGAAATGTATTTTTCTTTAATGGTGATGGGTGGTACAGTAGTGTGTTAGGCAACTTGGTCCTTGCACAGACAGCACAAACTAAGATGGTTGTGGTATCACTCGGTAATGTCCTAGGGGACTGTGGTTGTATGTGTGGCCCTAGGTCCCACCATTTATCTTAAGAGTATGTGAAATGTTTTCTTTGGTGGTACTTATATTGTATCCTTTCTTTTTTCAGCGAGAGAAGGTTCCAGAGGAGTACTTTAAACATGACCCTGAACACAAATTTATTTACAGATTTGTTCGCACTCTCTTTAGTGCTGCACAGCTAACAGCTGAGTGTGCAATAGTAACTTTGGTAAGATACTTTTTATTCATCAAGCATGCTTTGCAGTTGGTCTACCTAGGGTAAGGTCTTGTTTTTCTAATAAAAGTAGGTTCTTGAAATTATCATCGGAACTTTTAAGAGAAACCTGTCAAAGGAAGGTAAGTACACATGTGAGTGTACTCATCATGACAGCTTACAGTGTTGCCTTTTCTCATTGCAAAACAATTGCTATTAAAGGTAATTGAGAGTTCCCCCCACTGCAGTACCCTGTGCTCGCATAGGCCACGCTGGGGGGGAGGGGCAACAGTAGCAAAACCATGTGGTCCACACAGACTAGTCCATGCAGTTCTAGCTAAGTGCCAGCGGGATATATTTGTTCCCAGGCAGTTCTGACGTGTACTGTGATTGAGAATTACTGCCCTTGGTTCTCTGCCCTGAGTATTATAGGTGTTAATGCATCCTGCTGACCTGTGTTTGTCTGTTACCCAGAATGATAGTACTAGTTGTTAGAAAGACTTTGTGAGCTTCCTGAGCTATAGGTGTGTCTTTAGCATTAGGTCATCCAGAATTCCTAATGGGAGATTATCAATTTGAATAATCCTGTTTAAGTGGTTGAGATTTGTTTTACTCCTCCTCCAGCAGGTGCACAGTGGAAAGTCAGCTGCATGGCCTGGAGGGAAAGAGTACTTAGGTCAGTACCTACTGCTATAGCATCCAGTGAGAATCTAGATAAGAGACTTGTACATTGTCCAGTAACCATTTGGATATGTATAGAGCATGAATCCAACCAAAAGGAGTTGAGTAACTGTTCAAATGCAGAGAACATGAACAATGAAAAGTGGGCAGCAAGTCCTCACAGAGTCACTGTGAGCCACCACCAGCATTAAAGGGACAGCAATAGGAGGAAAATGAGAGGACAATAAAAGAGCCAGATAAGAGAGGGTATGATTAGAGTGCTAAACATGGCAAGAAATGCATAGCTACCCACTGGAAAGCTACTCCTTATCACTGATAGTGCTGGGGTAGAGGAAAGAACAGGTTGAACAAAGTTCTGGCCTTTATGAGTTTTTGTTCTAGTGAAAAAGACACTGAATACTTGTTGAAGTAGATGAGTATTTCAGGTAGTGGTAAATCAGGGTAGAGGTCTAAAGAGTGATCAGAAAGTTTTCTATTTTAGAACAATAAGCAAGAGTTACTTCAGAGGTGAACAGCAGCCTGACTGAAGTGAGGAAGCCAGGGTGTGCGTCACGAGTGTACCGTTAGTGGTTGAGGCCAGAATTCCTTACTGCTTTGGAAAGAGTCAGCTGGTTAAGGTTTAAATAAGAGGCCAAGAGAGGAGCCAGGAATGTAGCTCAGCCTCGTAGCACCTGCATAGCAAGTGCAAGCCCCTGTATTTGATTCCTAGTAACCCCCCCCCAAAATAAAGCAGATTAGAGGCGTAGGGGAGGGGAGCAACAGTGATGCAGCTGAGCAGCGATAGGTGCTAGCTCAGGATAAGAAGTCATCAGCTCACCATTAAAGGGCAAGGTGACAGGAATTGCTAACAAATTTGAGTGACGTAACTCAAATGTAGGTTTTTGGCTCATGCAAATTAGACAAATGGCAGTGTCTTTTACCTATCAGGGATGGGAGAACGCAGAGTTGGGATGAAGGCTCTGGGTTGTAAGTCTGAATGACCCAGGAGAACTTTTAGCCAAGAGAGAGTAGCAACAAGCAGACGAAAGTGAGTTAAGAACAGAGGCTATCGAGGGGCTGGCGTGCACAATGTAGTGAGCAGAGTAAGAAACCACATTCTGGGACTTGTCAGAAGTGGAGACAGCAGAAACACATTCATAATGGGAAAAGTCTCTGGCAGAGAGGGAAAAAGTCCTCAGAAGGGGATACAGCAGTTGCAGGAGTCATGTTCTACAGAAATGGGAGGAGGTCAACTGCACAAATTGCCAAGTTGCATCATGGGAAGAAGAGAACTCTTCCAGGTGCACAGCAGGACACGTGGTATAAACATTGTCAGCCCACAGCAAGCCTACTTGGAAGGTAGCCTGTAATTGAGGAATTGTCCATGTTGTTTCACTGTTCTTCTGTTTCTATACAGAACAGTGTTGAATCCTGTGAGAGACATTCATTTGTAGGATACTTGAGAGTTCTGAATTGTGCGGAATGAGAGGAGAATCTCACCAAGAATGTATAACATTCAATATTTGTTGGCTTTGACAGCAGTTGACTTTGGAGAAGATTGTGTGACCTCAACAACTTGTCGGACAGCCTTCTTCAGACCCTAAATAATGGTCTTGGAAATGGGCTGTTTTATTTTGTCTTGATGCAGTGTTCAGATAACATATACAGTCTGCTGTGTGAGGGCTCTGCTTCTATGATTTTGACAACCAGTGGATGAAAATATTTGGGGGGAAGTTTGTGTTCATATGCCCTAAATAAGAGCACAACTCTGTGTACATAGAATTTTCAGTATATTTGGCAGTACAGGTCACCTAGGGAAGACTTGGGAGGGTGCACATAGTGACATGCAAATCCTGGGCCATTCAGTGAGAGTTTTGGGCACTAGCATGTTTTGCTATTGGTCAGATTTGGTCCTGGAACCAATCTCCCATCTGACACCAAGGATGGCGTCCCCACTTTCGCAGTATCTTTTGAAGTAATGGCACCTCACAGCTTCTTCTCTTCACTCAGCTGTTAATTTCACCCAGTTGATGGACTCAGTATTTGATGTATGTAAAATAATTTGTTAGATTTTCTCACTAATTGTGTGTGGATTTAGGTGGCCCAGGGATACAGACTAGCAGCTTAAAAACCTGAAAACCAACCAAATTGAAAGTTCAAAATTACAAAGAGAATAATTACAAAGTTGGTGGCAGAGATATGCAACATAAGGGCTCTAAGAAGGACTGTCCTTTTTTCACATTATAAAAGCAGTGAATTGGGAGAATGCTGTATAGATCTGCACCTGTCATGCCGCTCTGTTCAGCAGCCACTGGGAGGCTCTCTTGTCCACCATTTCCGCAGTGTCACAGAAGGCTTAGTTATTGTGACAAGATGATGAAAAGGTGCTGTGACTTGGCTTTTCCACATTCAAGCATGAGATGTCTGAGACCACTGTGAAACTACCAGCTGGGTATGATACCTAGCCCTTGGGGAGACACTCGGTATTCACTCAGTACTTCAGTCTACGCTGGGCTGCATCTGCCCTCTGTGTGTGTGCCACTAATGCGGTATACTCTTTAGCATGCCCTTTGCCAAGATGTCTGCAGTCACACTTAGGACCAAAACGGGACTGAGGATTTGTGTGGGCAGAATGGGCAGCAGAGGTGTCTGACTTTCAGCTGTAATCTGACCTCTTGCTTTGGCTGAGTAAAATCTCTAGGTCTTTTTTAAAAGTAAAAGGCACTTACTTTTTGGTCAAACGTGGAGGAAATGTCATTCATAACAGTTCTTACTGTAGCACTTAAACTGAACTAAAATCAAAGACCAGTGCTCTACTTTTACAGGTTTACTTAGAAAGGCTTTTAACTTATGCTGAGATCGACATTTGCCCCACTAACTGGAAAAGAATTGTTTTGGGAGCCATTCTTCTTGCCTCCAAGGTTTGGGACGATCAGGCTGTGTGGAATGTGGACTACTGCCAGATCCTCAAGGACATTACGGTTGAGGACATGTGAGTTTATAAGGTTTTGGTGAACTTTCTGTTTTCTAGTATTTCATTTGCTTACATAAAGTATACATTTAAAAAAATATTTTTAAATGTTACATGCAGATAATGGAAATAAGCATAAAACTAATACTTCCTGTCCAACTGTACCCTAACAGTTTATATTTCCCACCACTGATTTGTAAGTCTCGGGGTGTCATTACTGTAATAATCTGCTCAATAAATTGAAATAATTTTTCTGGTAGTGTTTTGCCAGACATCTTACAAGCTTACAATTGGAACAACATAGTACAGTGCATATCTTCATGGCTTTTAAAAAGCTGCCTACCAGGGCCAGGAATATCACTCAGTGGCACAAGTGCCTGCCTAGGGGGCCTGCCCAGTAGCTCAGTTGTTTAAGTGCCTGCTTAAGCAAAGCCCTCAAACGCAGGCTTCTTTGGTTCGAACCCAGACAGTTACTGAAAAAAACCAGAAATGCCCTAAAAAAAAGCATTTGAGCCTCAAAAAAAAAAAAGAGAAAACCCCACAAGTGCCTGCCTGGCAAACACAGGTCCTGAGTTTGATTCCTGGTACCAAACAAACCTGCCTACAAGTCTCAGTTTCTTTTTAAGGGGCACGTGTCTGGATTTTGAAATAAAAATTTGGCCACCATTAAAGTCTTAACAGTGGCCAACCTAGTAAAAGGTTTTAACTTCAATCTGAGTCACACATTGTGTATTGCATTTGTCCTATGTGCACGACCCCCCTGCCCCAATCTGCTGTTACAGATGGCAGGAGACAGGGAAGTAGGGGTTTCGGATCTCTGTGTTTGATTGTTCCACAGTAGGCTACTGTGCATGTAGCAGTTGCTATGCTGGGCTAGGCAGCTTGAGTCCCCTCAGCAAGCAGTCTGAGAAGCCCTGCCAGGGCATAGTAGGTGCTCATCACCGAGGCTACTCAGATATAGCAGTGCTCTGTGGGAGCACAGGGGGACCTCGACCTGTAGTGGCTCCTCATGGGTCCCCAAGACAACCGTCAAACAAGGGCTTCCCTTCAGGCCCCAGCTGCCATGAAGGGCAGATCAGTGAAGTGGGAGGCAGGGTGAGCAGGGGAGATATTCTGTAGCAGACTGTTGAAGTGCCTGCCCAGTTGCCAGCAAAATGTCTTTGTGGGTGGCATTTAGAAATGTATGAAGGAACACCTTAGTCATTTTAAGCATCATAGGAAGCTTGCCAACTGTCTTTGTTATCTTCGCTCATTCTAGATAAGGCTGTCGTCCAGAATTACCAACTCTATTCACAGCTGAGGTGGGCACACATGATAAGGGGCAAATGTCCCAGGGAAGATGACCACTCTAGTGGTAGTGTAAGTTGAGTGGTCATAGTGGTACTGCTTGCTTAGCTGTCTTGGCACAGGACGTGGCAATAAGATGGAAGCAAGTGGAAGTGTTTTGGAAGCTACAGAAGCTAAAGTGACTTTGATTGTTGTTTGTCATCAGTCTGCAAACTGGTCCTCTGGAAAAATACAAATTTATAATCCATGAACACTAGCGCTTTCTGGGATGGCAGCTGAAATTTTCTCAAAACCTACAACTAAGCTGGCTGGAGCTGTGGCTCTAACTAGTTACAAGATGTGAGAAGACCCAGGGAAATGTGTCAGCTTCCTCCACAGGAGCTCCAGGAGCAGAGGAGGCAGGGCCAGCCACTGGGCCAGTTCTTAGAAGGCTTTTTGTGTGTGTGAACAGAGAAATACCAGGAGCCATGTTCCTAACCCTCTACTTTTTTTTTATGATCTTTGGAAATGGGAACGCATACAATGCTGTGTTTAATATACATTTGTCTCATCCCCCTGCTGTTGACTGTGATGGTCTCATTTGAGGTCTAAACTGAAAAAGATAAAAAAAAAAATCAGCCTCTATCTTTTTTTTCTTTAAACTCTCATACTACCTTTGTGTCTTGTATTCCTTCATAAGTTGAACCGAGCAGCTCCTGTTCAGAACATGTGCTGTGCCCTAAATGGTATCCTATTCAGCCATTAATAACACAACAAGCCCCCCAAGATCCATATTCTGTAGGCATAATGCTTTTCTTCAGTGATGAAACCTCTTTTAATAGACATGTTAATCCCATGAAGTACTGTATTTCTACAGTTAAAATGTATTAGTGGAGAAAAAAATAAAAGGGATACTGAAGTGCATTCATTCCTGTAGTAAATTAAGTCCTGATTAGCTGATTATCAAAACATTATCTGATTTACATTTCTATAGATTTACTGCCATATGAACAGGAAATTAATTGTGGGAGTAGGATCAGTTTGGTTTTAATTTCAGCAAATGAGAAAACAACATGTGTACTCATGCTCTCCATTCAGGATAGCATCAAGCATTCTTTTTACTTGGCCACTGGATAAAATATTAAAATTGTAAAGCCAAGAAACCAAGTATGCTATGAAATAAGCCTCTCATGTAAATTTCAGTTTCTGCAGATTGCTGTGCAGTGCTAAGCATTGTCCTGGTGTGTATGCCTGTGAGCTCCGTGGGGAAAAGGGTAGCTCTGTGCTCTGTGGCAGGTACCAAGGGCTCTGAAGCACTGCCCTACCCTTCCACCACCTGGAACTCCCTACCTGGCACTGTGTTCTAGGACTTTCCTGACATAGAAACAGGGCTTATAAGTGCAGGGATGTCATGTCCTACAGGGATTTAGTCTAGCCAAGACCTGTTTTTGGTCCATTTTCTGAAGTTTAAAAGGAGTATCTTGATTGTTGTGGTGACAGTTGTTCACCCCAGCAATATTAAGGTGAGCAGGAACTTGCATTATGCCCTTTGACATAGCCTCATATGCTGGGCTGGGGAAGGGATTTCCTTGTCTATCTAGTGCAGCTTATTTATTTATTTATTTTTTTGAGATGAGTCCTTGTTGCCTCAAGAGTTTTCCCCCTCAGAGATAATAGCAGTGGCTCTCGATGGATCCATTTGTTGCCGTGGTGATGTGCCCACTTCTTTTGTTGGCGCTTCTCTACTTCAATAAGCCCTTCCTGTTATCAGCTCGGTAAAAATGTCTGCAAGTTCTTCAGAGCTAATAAACAGCATACATCATTCCTTTCATCTGCTCACTATAGTGGGGCCTTGGGAGTGAGAGTGGAGTATGAATCGTACAGCTGCACTAATGGAACTCTGAAGATGAACTCCCGAGTCCACGGCGCGAGTGCATGAGAGGGCTGCAACCTTTCCCCTCCGCCAAAATTCACAGTGCTGGGATGCAGAAAGGACCACAAATAGCTGTACCTTGTTTGAGCATTACTGTATTATTCCAGCTGAGGAGCCTTTATTTGTTTCAAAACAGAGTTTAGAGCCCTCCTACAAGCTCAGAATGTTAGATTTGAAGCTTGCCCAGTCGACTAAAATTGTCCTGTGTTGGTTCTGTTTTGTTCCTCCTCCCCCAGGAATGAGATGGAAAGGCATTTCTTGGAGTTACTCCAGTTTAATATTAATGTTCCTGCTAGTGTTTATGCCAAATACTACTTTGACCTGCGCTCCTTAGCAGATGACAACAACGTCAATTTTCTGTTTGCTCCTCTCAGCAAAGAGAGAGCACAGAACCTAGAGGTAAGGCTGTGCTTTTACTGCAGAGGTTTTTCTGTGAGCCACCGAAGCTGACATCATAAGCGAAGCACTGATTAACTAGAAAGTATCAAGTTTTAAATTAACATATGGAATAGCTCATTAAGAAAGTTTATGTTGGGGCTGGCCTGATAGCTCAGCGGACTAAAGCACCTGCTTAGGCAGAGCACAGTGGCCGGGGTTCAATCCCTGGCATGCTGTGCCAGCCCTGCCCATGGGGCATGCTGAGGTGACAATTGACACTGGGCATGGTTGTGCATGCCTGTAATCCCAGCACTTGGGCAGCTGAAAACAGGAGGATCACTACGAGTCTGATCTACATAGTGAGACCCTGTAGACCCTGTCCTAAATACGGGGGGGGGGGGGAGGAGTTTGTGGTATTATCTGTTTGTTTTGTATGAGTCTTTTTGGTTTATATTTTGTACTCTGAGTAACTTTGAAGATAACAATAATGTAATAACTTGTTCTCTTGGTTATTAAATTTTGTTATATTCATAAAATGAAGAACTTATTAATCTGTTAGCATCTTATTAACAGTCTTTTATGGTGTATATAAGGATTACATTATTTTAAAGTTACAGATATTATCTGCTCTTTGACCATTATTCAGAATATTTTTAATCATAATGTGTTCTCGGGCCAGGGAGATAGCTCAGTAGAATAAATGCCTGCCTGGCAAGTGCAGGGTCCCAAGTTCAATCCCTGGAACTGCAAAAAATAAAATAAAATGAAATAAATCTGTTCTTAATGGTTTTCCCTTTGAACCTCTACCTTTCTACATAACCAGACCATAATTTCTTGAAATGGTGTCCCTAATTGTGTCTGCGTACATTGCTCACCTACTGTTCTTGACTATCTTTTACTCAGTTGGCAAATTTATATTCAAGCCCCGGGTTTATTAAACATAGCATTAATGGCTATAGTGGGAGACCTGTACTTAGGACGTTTGTTTCAAATACATACTGCATGTGGGCAATACAGAATTTTGTAATGGAATTGGTTATTTACATGGGGCAAAGTAATACCTATAGCTTATGACTTTGTGCATTTATACACCAAAACAATTCACAACTGAGGTAGATGCATACTTTGAAATGGCACTTTCTGTGGTAGCTTAGTAGTGTCTTAGAATAATGCCTTTCTATTGTAAGTGCACTTTGGACCCCTCAAGCACTTAGACCCTCCAACCCTCTAGCCTGCACACGCCTTCCCACTGACAGGTGCTTAGAGTGTTCAGTAACAATGAAGACTGGGTAAAATCTGGAGAGCTGAGCCAATGCTTACAGATTGTTTCACATAGATGTATGCATTATATTTAAGAAGCAGTTGCACAGTAACATAATATTGCAGTGAGGACCCTATTGTAATACCTTTGACATCTTTCATCTTTGAGAACTCAATTTTAAAATAACAGTACAGTTCTCTTTTCTTGGTTATATAGTTGTCACCCTTGAAGTAACTACCTAGTGTTATTGGCAAGACATACAATCCCCAGGTCCTGGCACTGTAGGCCTCAGATAGCTAAAGCAACTGGAACTATGAAGTATCTAAAAGAATATGCATGTGTGACAAATCAGTGGTATTCTTTTTCCTTTAAGATTGGTATGTTTTATGTTCTACACGTGTTCTACTTGACTTTCCTAGGCCATTTCAAGATTGTGTGAAGACAAAGACTTGTGTAGAGCTGCGATACGAAGATCTTTGAGTGCTGACAATTTCATTGGTGTGCAGCGCTCTAATGCTATCCTCTCATAAGAGAAATGAGGGATAATAAAGTCATGAACCCCTCATCCGCAAAGACTGGAGAAATACCACCTCTCCTGCTTAGAAACCAGCAAAGTTAGTATTTTCACCGAAAGACCTTGAATTCAAGACTCCTGGACAATGACAGTTGCACTCCATAGAAAGAATGGGACTTTGTCAAAGCAACAACACACCTTCTGTCCTTTTTAATGCAGTTAAAAACTCCAAAGCAGAAGCTCCCAACCCATACAGAAATACTTATTTTATAGGCCAATAGCTAAAAAATGTGAGGTTTTTTAAAATTACCACTTTAAATTTTTAGACTTTAAGGGCACTAACAACTTTGATGGTTTTCCTATTGCCTCATTTGTATTGCTGCATATGCGCATATGCCTTCAGAATCGATGCAGTATTACAGTTAAAATGTGGGGCTTTTTATTATTATTATACAGTACTGGAAATGGAACCCAGGGCCTAGTCATGTGATGGGCAAACTCTCTGCTTACTGAATTACCACACCTAGTCCAAAACATGAGAGTCTTAACACTTAGGAGTAGATGGTAGCATTGTTAGATATTAAAGGTTCTCCCTACTGTGCCACAGAAGCTGCTAGTCATTATTGGCAATCAGTTTAAGATGTTCCTATTAGCTTGAACCACTGGTGGTCCATACATGACTCTCTTCGGGCGCCTTGTACACTGGTGGTGGAAGTGGGACAGTCATGCAAGTACCACCAGTGATTTAAGCTACTCAGCAAGACACGAATTACAACCCTGTTGTGAACATTTTAAACCAAAAATGTGGATAACACTTGCCATTCTTAATCTATAAGCACTACCTGCTAACATTTTGGAACGTTTGTGGTCATAAAGAGAAAAGTGTCATTTGCTGATTGTCTATGTTGAATGTGTTTACATTATATCCCGTCACCTGTTAATGGTGCCTCATTTTCTGATAATTTTCCTCTTGTTAAATAAATGTATTAAAAGGTACAGTGAGTCCCTGATTTAGGAGCATTAGAGTTGTGGACTTTTCACACATTACTGTATAAGATTCACTTTGTCAGCTCACAAATGAACCCACCTTAGGGACAGTTCTTCTGGAACAGAACTCATTTGTAAGTCAGGGACTTACTGTATGTCCACAATGCCAACCCTCAGGGGATCTGCTGGTGAATCAGGTAGGAAGATAAAAGGCGTCTGATGGTGCTGTGGTTTCGAGCGTTGCGCCTTAGTACACTGTACTGCACATGGGCCTTGCATAGCACAACAGCAGGAGAACTGCAAACGTCTACAGAACTTCATTTGAAAGTCTTAATTTTAGAAATGTGTAATACTTGGCTTTTGTTTGTTTCAGTCTCATAAGTGTCTGCGCTTGGCCAGCCTAGGGGGCCAGTGAGGAGTCAGGCTGACCAGGACACAGACCCAGCCCTGTTGAGGGAGGTGACATAACTTCGTAACACTCCAGGGTATGGGTATTAGAGCTTAAGTTACACTCATTGTGGGATACTTCCCATCTCCACAGAAGGGCCCTCCTAGTTTCACAATAGTACTTCGCAGGATTGTGCTCTTACCCGCTTTGATCAGATGTTTTTACTCTTGAGTTTGGCAGATTATGAAGAGCAGTGGTAATTCACATGTAAATGCAAAAGAATTGGACTTCATAGCAGCAAATGATGCATTTGTTTTTTAAATCTTCATATTAAATCTGGCTATAGATGTCCTATTTTAACTTTAATGAACCCAGAACACTTAATAATTTAAAGGGCAGGGAGTAATTTTAGCAGATTTCTGTTACATAAGTGTGAAAATATTAAAGATTAGTGTTCCTAATTACACAAAATCTCTTAAACTTCTCAAGTGCAATCCTGGGATTTTTTGCTTTGAGACAGGGTCTTACTGAGTAGTCCAGCCTGGCCTTGAGCTCACTATGTAGCCCAGGCTGGCCTCAAACTCAGTTGCAATCCTCCTGCCTCAGCCTTCTAAGTGCTGGGATTATAGGTGTAAATCACCACATGCAACTAATCCTAGGAATCTTGCCTGTTAACACAGCCATTCTAGGCCAGAAATCCTTCTCTCGATGTAGCAGTGCTTCACATTACACTGAGTGCTGCAGGTTCCATCATTTTTTTAAGACAGACAAATGATAAGTAATGGTATATGACATACAATCTACCACCTCAAAAAATTGTCTATGGAGTATCAAGCTTGGAGATTTGAGTATTGAGCAGTTCTATTTCAAAAAGAATGCTACAACGTAATGTTTTTTCTTTCCTCATGTTTATATTAAAAGAAAATTAATAAACTCTATTTTAATTAAAATATGGCTAGTGTGTAATATTTCTGTTGATGTAACATCTGTCCAGAATTTAAAATTTTACATTAGGCCTACGTTTTAAAGTATTTTCAAATTGACCCTACTAAATCTAGTTTGATCCATTTCTCTAGTTACTGTGTAATAAATTTCTTTTATTTAAGTGCTTTTTCCTAAAGATAACTTAGTGTACTTAAAATCACCAGTCACAGTACTTGGTCACACAGTGCATTAGATGACATCTTTGAAGGTAAAATATAAAGGAGAAAGGAATGACGGGAAGAGTAGAATTAGAATTTGAAGTTTCAGTTAAAATAGGAAAGTAAAGGTACAGGAACTAGACTTGGACTTGTACAGAAGGTCACGTAACACAAGTGTGCAATTTGACTTTAACATGCTGTTTTCAAAGCCTACATTTCAGTTAGAAATACACCAGGTCAGGAGATTTTTCCAGAGTAGCTCAGCTGTACAGCTCTACTTACCCTCAGTCCTGACAGTATTACTATATATTCATTTGTCATTTTCAGTACTTACAGTTTTAAATGACTAATCACTTTGTTCTTGATACATTTTTGATTAGGATAAATCATGTGATTTAATTTGTAAGAAAAAGTGCTATCACTCCAAGATGATTTGAGCCCTATTTGAGCCACTAAGCAGAAAAGCTGTAATCATAGTTTTAATACTATTTGGAGTCAGGCATGGGGACACACATCTGTAATCCCGGCACTTGGGAGGCTGAGGCAGGAGGATGGAGGTTAAGCTCAGCCTGGACTACATAGACCATTTGTGTTTTTTAAAAAGGAGCAGGACTTCGGATGTGAATCTGTAACTTCAGAGTATCACTAAAAAATGCTATTTCCCATTTAGCTTTAACTAAAAGGCACCCAGGGATATAGCTCAGTGGCACAAGTGCAAGGTCCTGAGTTCAATTGTTACCAAAACAAAACTAGAAGGCAGTACTGCCATTCTGCAAATGGGAAATTGAGGCAACTTTAGGTAAGAATCTAAACAGCAGTGGTTTGGGCAAGTTCTGTAATGTGATGGGATACTCTGCCAGCAGGGGGGTAACTGGCAGTTTTCTCAAGGGTCTAATAACTGGGGATGATAATAAAATGAAATGTCTGCCTTTAAATTCTTTTCATTTTGAGGATTTGAGGTTTTGGCTTTTTACTGTTGTAAAAAGACCTCAAAATTTAAACTTTCAACATCTTTATTAGGAAGACGAGACAAAAGATCTGAGATGTTTAAAATCAATGACACTCATTTTCCAGGTCCAATATATGGTTTCCTACTAGCAATTTCATGTGGTCCATCCCAATACAGCTGCTCCCACCCCCTCCAGGGATGGATCTTACCTTTTAGCTCATGTTGGCTTCAAACTGAAGAGCCTCCTGCCTTACACCTGAACGTGGAGCTTATGTGCATGTGTACATCAGGCTCATGTTATCCCTCATGTACCTCTATGTTACTGGAACCCAAGAGCACTTAGACCTAGCTGTATAGCAATTTGTTGATTTAATTTGCTACATCTCTACATTATTCTCCCTGGCCTGAAGCTCATATTAACCGGAAAACATTCAGCTTGTATTCAGGTTAGGGAGTGTTTTTGGAAACTAGCTACAGCATGTAGCCTAATCACCTTTCACTACCTGGCCCTTTCGCCAGCCACACTTAAGAGTGACTGGTCACTGTCCTCTGACTCAGAAGCTGTTTGTTGCATACAGAATGAGTTGGAACATCACCTAATATAGCAAACCTACAGCACAGAATCTGTAGACTACCTGCATCTACCAACAAATCAGGCATTAGAACTGAGTCTCATCTGCCAGCCACTTGCCAACCTGGAAGGTCTGGCATTGTCAAGAAACTGCAATCTTTAGTAGGACTTGTTCCCTCCAAGCATGTCCACCCCATCTGGCTTTTTTTTTGCAGAGCTGGGGATTGAACTCATGCCCTTGCTCCCACCTGGCTTCTAAGGCAGTTTTCACTGAACTGTTTTCCGTGGCTTTCGGCAAGTAAAAAAACTCGGACATACTACAAGAGAAATTTTAGGACTACCAGTTTATGGCTGAGAATCTCCAGGGTATAGGGACAGCTGGGAACATGAGATTGCAGATAGTAAGAGGATTGGATCCTGAGTCCAATGGCGGGGGGCACGGGGGGTTAGGTGTTAATACTCGATAAGAGGAAGGTTAGGTGACTACAATGGCTATAAAGGGCTAAGCAGTTTGCTTGGGATTCGAAACATTCAGTGATAGACCCAGAAACTATGTCCCTAGTGACATCAAATAGTATTTGTTTCAAAAGACATCCAAATTAGTTCTTTAGCTTTTTTAAAGATTGCTTCTTTTCCTCCCTGCCCTTCTCAGCCCTACAGCCCTTTACCTGTAGCCCCAAGTTGGTGGCTTCTCAGCATGACCAGTTCCTCACCCAAGCAGAGCTGTAGGGTGCTTCCAGTTCCCTTTCCACCAGTGCTTTGCTGGATGCTGGTGGCCAACATGGCATTAGTTAATGAAAGTCACTGTGACCACGTTCAAAGGAATACCAGCTTCAAAAACATTTTAAGGCAGTGCTGTCGGCTGAGGCAGGGCCTTTGCGCTGAGCCACAGCCCTGGCCCATTTTCTTTTTACAAGTAAGAGCCTGTGAACTGTCTGTGTATGGCATGAGCTTGTGATCACCCTGACATGTGCACTGGGATTACAGGCCTGCGCTTGGCAGCATTACAGGTTTTACATGGGGTACAGGCTCACCAGCCCCATGCTCCCTCCTCACACATTTGACCTGTGTTCTTAAGGCAGCTATCTCCAACTTACCGTGGTCAGCAATGTGCTGACCTCCCAGGCCTTGGTATCCCATCTTCCATCTAGGCGGACAGTGAAGCAGCATCCCAACCGCCCAACATCTAGTACTTCACTTGGCATTACTGCCTGTTTCTAAATTAACTAAAAATTAAACTATTCGTTCCCTCCACCATTTCTCTTCTGGTTTAAAAATGCTTCTGTCTCCCTACCTTGAGGATGGGACAAGTCCAAATTTTAGTTCAGGTGTTCCCAGTTTTTCTCAATATGTGGTTCTCAAACGAACTGTCTCTCACCAACTGAAAGTGGCTGTGACAAATACTAAGCTCCTGTAATGAATGCAATGGATTCAATCCTAAAGCAGGTGAGAGCGTTTAACAGGAAATCTGATGACCTCTGCAATTAACAGTCACGCCAACTCTTGAGTTCAGAGCTACAATAAATATACTGGGAATGATATGTTAACATTAGGGGCATACAAGAACTCTGATTAATCTTCATAACTTAAAATTTTGGAGTAAGGGCCAGCCAAATAGCTCAGTGGATTAAAGTGTCTGCAAGGAGGCACAGGGGCCAGGGGTTCGATCCCTGGACCTGCCATGCTGGGCCTGCCCCCGGGGCGTGCTGAAATGGTAATTGAAACTGGGCATGGTTGGTGTGTAATCCCAGCTCTTGTGAGGCTGTAAACAGGCGGATCACTATGAGTCTGATCTAGTAGTGAGACCCTGAACACCTTGTAGACCCTTCCCTAAAATACTGAAAAAAAAATTTTTGGAATAATTTTAGACTTACAAAAAAATTATTCTAGGGGCCAGTGAAATAGCTCAGTGGACTAAAGCACCTGCTTAGGCAAGTACAGGGACCGCTGTTTGATCCCTGGCACCCCATGCTGTGCCAACCCCATCCCCAGGACAGGCTGAGCTGGCCACAGAGTCTGAGCATAGTGCGCGCACCATAATCCCAGGCTGGGGAGGCTAAAAACAAGAGGATCACTACGAGTCCAAGCTGCATAGTGAGACCCTGTAACAACCAAATACATTATATATATATATATATATATATATATATATATATATATACACACACACACATATATATGCATATATATATATTCTAAATGTATTTTTGAATTTCTTGGGATCTAGAGCTCCTGAAGCTCTGTTCCCAAGGTTGAAGCTGAAGTGGTTCTTGCACATATTTTGAACCTTGCCTGTCATCTATCCATAGCACACTAGGACAGCTGCTGACTCCTTGATTTACTTAGCTGACCCTTACCTAATCCTTTACCATGTTTGTGACAGAGCTGTAACTCACGTCTTGCTGTTGGGTAGCTTGAATCACTGGTGGGATATGTAGGACCATCTTTTTGGGTGGTCCGGGACAGTCCCACATGTGGTACAAGTTGCCAATGAAATGGGCATGTCTGTACCACTGGAGGCTCAAGCCAGTGGGAATGTGTTGCCTTCTCTGAACCCTGACATACACTGTGACTACTCTTATCCCCCTTTCACAGATGAGAACAGTGAACTGCTAAGACACAAGTGCTCAGGATCATAGCCAGTGAACAGTGGAGCTGGGAGCTCAGCCTGCTTCCCTGCCCACACAGAACCACTGTACCTCTCTGTGTCCTCATGACAAACTAAAGAGCTCTGTAGGGGCTTGCGAGTTTGCTCAGTTGTTTAAAGCTCCTGCTTGGGCAAACTCAATTCTGGTGCAGGAGACTGCTGTTTGATCCCCAGCTCCACATGCCTCACCAGACCGGCCCTTAGGGTACCGTAAGCCAGGCGAAAGAGAAGCGAGCGAGCAAGTGATGCGCTGTAACTGCATCACTCAGAGCAGTGCTGTGGCCAGTGATATCATCCCACGTCCACCTTTCTCCAGGTTTCTAAGGTCCCCCCTGCTCCTGCTGGTGACTGCTCTCTGCCTTTTTCAGAGGGTGAAAGTGAGCAAGGTGCAGCAGAGGAGGGAGTGCGACTACAGCCCCGAGGTGACAGTGACACCGCTGTCACCATTCTGCACAGCCAGGGCTCGATCTCTTGTACCAGAGCACTCACCTTGACCCCGAGTTACATGTTCTTGGACTGTCATTGGCCTCTGAGGGGATGTGTGTTGTCACCTCTCTACACTTTTAAATTCCTGATTACCTATGTTTTCCCACAGTGCCTTAGAGCATAGCCTGAGTACACCCACAATACCAAGCATCAGAACGGGATGGCTTTGGCACACTGACCTCTCAGGTGCGCTCTGCACAGCTGTGATCAGCAGAAAGTGGTCTTGTGATTATATTCAGCCTTCAGACCATCTTTGCAGATGAACAGACTAAATTGACTTCTGGGTCCCTGACTTGAATTTAGAGCTCAATACCTAGCTGTGGATCCAACCTCCGTCCTCCCCCCACACAGCCTCTCTCCACACAGCCCCAGTGCACAGACAGGTTGACAAACAGAACACAGCAGGGTGGTGTCTGTTCTTCCTGGAGCATCCTTCATTTCTTCAAGCAAGTAATGACAATCAGGATCCGTAGATGTCTGGGAATATATTTAAGTGAAACATGTTTTAATTAGTTTTGCTTCTGACAATTGGGATTTGCCCGATTTTACTTAAAATACAAACAGCAAAGTTTTATTAATAAGTATGTCTAAGAAATCTGATGATGAAGTTAGAATCCACATCTCTTCAGATACTCTCTTAGAAAGCAGTGTCTCTCCATAAAAACAAGGAGAAAAAACTTCTACAGCACCTTTTAATTTTCTTTACCATTGCTTTAATGCATTTTTAAAAGTTATCTACATTAATTGGGAACAAAGAAACAAAAATAGACATTTCTTTGTTTTTCATAAATAACTAATCTCCATATTTGATAAAAATCTCAAACCATTATTTTACCTTCCCACAAATATAATACATACAAAATTTTTCTGAAATAATACAGTTGACAAGTATCTTGAGACTAACATAACCACAGATAGTTGCTGTGCTACTGACTTCCAGGAACAAAAGAAAATAATAAAACCTTATCAAGATGCTCTGGGTTTCATTAGAGTTACGGACTCAGAATTATAATCACTTGCCAGTAATTTATAGATTGAGTTGATTGTCTACAAATAAAATACTGCTGGCTCTGACTCACGAGTTCTGGCTATGACCACCACGACTGCCCTCGGTGGGGTGGGCACCAGCCGTACATGGAAACCACAAAAGTACTGAATGCCCTGGACTCCAGCTGCTGACTGGTATATGCCTCATTTGGCTCAGTAATAGATTCACCTGCACCAAACCCGTATCAAAAGTCACTAAATCTCTCATATATATATAATATATATTATGTATATATACACCAGCAAAACATACATATTATACAGTTTTCAGCAACATGAATATTGTTATAAATGATGTACCACAGACACATTATCCTGGCTGAAAGAAAATCCTGTCACTGTCATCAAGCTGCTAGCTAGAAGCCTCTGAGTTTTGAGTCAGGTCGGTTTACATCCTGCCTGCTTTCACCCTTTTTAATGTCTTGGCAGCTTTTTCTTATAGAACCATCCTGCCCAACCCAGCCATGTCTCTTCCCCAGGATCACTTGATGGGACTTTGGAGACTCTAAGAAGGGCCCCACAGAGTGAGCAGGCCACTCCTCCCCACCGCACCTCACACCTGCCTAGATTCCTGATGTGCTCTGTCCTGATTGCCACAGTCGGTGTTAGAAAGCAGTTATTCAAAGCTTTGTCCCTCCTTTCCCCCTGGGTCTTTCTGTAGCACACAAAAGAGAAAGAAGCTTCTTAGCAGGGGGAGTAGTTCATTAAAATATACAACTGTGCTTCCTAGCTCTGGGGTTCCCATTCTGTACCAGAGTGTAGGTCATGGGTGCCACTCTGAAGGTGCAGTGTGTGATCTGGAAGGTTTTCTCCTGGCAGCCCATGTCAAGATTAGTGCAGCCCTGGTCCAGAAGGGAACAGCGTAATGAATACCAACTTTGAAACAGTGCTGTCAGCACATTATTTAAGATTGTATGTGCACACAATTATGCACAACACACACACACAGGCCCTGGCCACTGGTAGTGGCCACGTGAAAATCTGACAGAATAACCAATAAGGCACCAGACAAATGATTTCCAGCCAATTTTGACCACTGCAAAATGTGAGGAGGGAAATCATGTAATTTAAGAACCTATATTGTGGCCACCTGATTCCATAGAGGCCCCATTATTCCTAGTGACGATCTTCCAAATCTTTACCCCTTGACCTAGGGAAACAAACAATGCTTCTAAACTAAAGTCATCAGGCAGCCTGGAAACTGCATTTGAGACAGAAGTGAGCCCTGAGTCCCCAGTTTGGCCCAGCTGCCTAGGAAGAAGTCACTGGCCACCCTCATAGCCTGTCATTTTACAGTTGTTTTTAGGAGTCTGATTTGTTTTCATAACAAAAAAGCAGAGTGGAGGAAAGTGAGTATGGGGGGAGGAGGAGACGGAGTGGCCAGAAATACATGCAGCTTCTCTCCCTAGTAGTCAAGGTAGCTGACAGTAGTAAGACCTGGGAGAAGCAAGTGGCTGGATCTTTGTTTTTTAGGGAATGAGAAAGAGGGAAAGCGGAAGTGAGAATGACATGAAAAGAAGCCTCAGACACCAGACCCCCAAAGCTGAACCTAACTCACCAGCTCTGTTTTAAAATAAAGAAAAGGCAAGAAGTGGGGCCAGTCCAAGCCAGGGACAATGACCCAAGGCAGCAGATCCCAAAAGACTAAAGGAGACAGAGGTCAGGAGACCAGGAAAGGTCCTCTTTTCCGACAAGAGGAGCCAGGGCCTGGGATTCTATGCCGAGTTCCAGGGAGAGGTTCTGGTCATGAAGCAGGATAAGATATGCACAGAGCTCCAGCTGTGGATTGTAGAGGTTTTTGTGGAATCCAACAAAACTTTCATTTTGATCAGAGAAGGAACTGTTTTTCTAAGAAATGTCAACAGCCTTTCAAAGGCCTTCCAGCTGAGTACTAGGCTTCTCACCAGCTCAGTATTTAAATTCCCATTTATCTACTCAACATTCCTACAGTAAAATCAGCCTAGGCTGAAATTTTACTTCTCTAACTTTGGTGCAAATGAAGCTAAAGAGCCAAGATTCCGGCTGTTTTCCTAGCAATGGCTTTGGCCATTTTAGCTCCTCCAATTCAGTCCCCACCCAGTCCCCACCTCTCTCACTTTTTGTGGCTGATGCACTGCCACTCCTCCCCCAGCTTTGGCCTCGGTGTCAGCAATGAACATTTAAACAGATTAGGAAAGCAAACAGAACTTTCTAATGGCAGAGAAACCTGAGTGCACGTGTGTGCATTCATCAGCATATGAGCTTTTGCATACGTAGGAAGGAATGTTAAACAGATGAGGAAAGCAAACTAAATTTTCTAACAGCAAAGGAGCGCGTGTCAGTGTGTGTGAGTGCACGGCACCCACACACTCATCAATATGTGGGCTCAGAAGAAGAGGAGAAGGAACAGGAAGGGGAGGACAGGAATTTTCCCTTCTCGGGAACATTAACTGATCCATATTTGAGGGCTTATGCAGGGATGTTAGGGATTTCATTTGTTTTCAGAGATTCTGGAGAGCAGGTCTTGCCGCTCCAGGGACACCTGGTTCCAAACCAGCCCAGTGCAGGGTCACACTTGTTTTCCCTGCGTACAGCCAATGTCTGTTCACAGGTAGCCAGGCCCCTCGGCCCCCTAAGCATTCAGTTCCAGGTGGGTGTGGCCTCCAATCACAGCTCGCCAGGAGAGGAATAAGAAAAGCAAAAAGGCTGTTTAACATGATAAAGGGTGGGGGGGGGAGCAGCTAAGAGAAGCCTTGGAAATGTACTGTAATTACTGAAAGCATATCTGGTTTAGTCCCCCAGCTTTTAAAAAGGGAGCCCCTTTTAACGACGAACCCGAAGTACTTTCAAAAAGGGAGTGGGTTTACTTTCACCAAAATTGTAATACAAGTTCCTTTAAAACAGCAATAATTAGGGATCACCGAAGCTTGTGAAGAACCACCCACTCCGTCTCTCCGGCTCAAAGCTCACCCTCTCACAATTCAGAATTTGTTTTCAACCAATCACAATCCAACCTCTCACAATTGCTGGACGCCATAAAGCTACCTCTACCTTATTCAAGACGGGGCACTGGTTCTCTTAGGAACGAGAATGATTGTAAGACATGCTGACAGAACACAAGCTCCCTAAATAAAGTTCAGGATGCAGGCAAAATCCCTAAGCTCTCCCCACGGGTCACCTGGGGGAGGCCCGGACCACATCAGGCCCCGCCCCTTGGGAGGGCCGGGGAGAAACAGAGGAAGCAGCAGCTGGCCTCAAAGCACCTCTAAACAGTGGAAGGAAAACCACATCCAGCCTTCCCAGTCACGGTAACCCATTGCTCACAGTTCACATTTTTAAAAAAGACACTGATAGGAAATATGTTTTCCCAATTTAGACCACACAGTTCAAAGAAATCTGAACCAAGTGAAGACGCATTACAACGCCAACTTTAGGACTGTAAAACTCCCCCCAAAGCAAAGGTAAATGGTGTTGCCAAAATGCAACAAAGTTAAAATTAAGAAAAATACGTATAAATTAAAGGTTCTTCTGAAGGTGGTAAGAAACACAAAACAACACACGTGAGCTGTGCCCCTTGGAGAAGTGAAACAGGCACCCCTCGGAGACCACCCCAAGTCACCCAGGGAGGAGGTGTCAGCACCACGAAGGTAAACGGAAGTGACCTTCGAAAAAGCTACCTAGTCAGCCCCCTCCCTCTCGGTTCCCGGGAAGGCCCTATACGTGCGATAAAGACACCTGCTTGTGGTAGGCAGCGGCAGGGCCTGGAGGCCCGGTCCTGCCGGTGAGCGCGGAGCTGGCCTCGTAGTCCCCCGCGGCCACGGCGCCCCCACTCTTACGCGCCCGCCGTGGCCCGCAGCAGCAGCGACTGGTGAAGCGGCGCCACGACTCCACTGTCTTGCCTGACCAGATCCAGACGCCAGAAGTAATGCCCACCACGAGGCACATGAAGTACTTGAGCATGAGCACCCAGTACTCGGGCTTGGCGCGCGGCTGGCCGGCGTCGCGGCCCGGGCAAGAGCACGTGAGTGCAGCCTCCCAGCTCTCACGGTAGTGCTGCTCGTACAGGTAGCAGATGACCACGATGCTGGCTGGCACCGTGTAGAGCAGAGTAAAGATACCAATGCGGATCATGAGCTTTTCCAGCTTGTCTGTCTTGGTGCCACCCTGCTTGATGACACTGCGGATGCGAAAGAGTGACACGAAGCCCGCCAGGAGGAAAAGTGTGCCCACCAGCAGGTACAGCACCAGCGGGCCCAGGACAAAGCCACGCAGCGAGTTCAGGTTCTGGTTGCCCACGTAGCAGATGCCGGCCACGGGGTCGCCATCCACAGCACTCAGTGCCAGCGCTGTGATGGACTTGACGCTGGGGATGAGCCACGCCGCCAGGTGGAAGTACTGCGCGTAGCCCGCAATGGCCTCGTTGCCCCACTTCATGCCCGCAGCCAGGAACCAAGTGAGCGACAGGATGACCCACCAGATGGAGCTGGCCATGCCGAAGAAGTACACGAGCAGGAAAACGATGGTGCACAGCGCGGGACCCGTGGTCTCGTAGTGGATGTGGCTGTGCTCGCGGCTGCAGGCGACACTGGCATGGCCCACGACTAGGCGCACCAGGAATCCCAGCGACACGCACAGGTAGCAGGCAGACAGGAAGATGATGGGGCGCTCGGGGTAGCGGAAGCGCTCCATGTCAATGAGGAAGGTGGCCACTGTGGTGGCGGTGGAGATAAAGCACAGTACGGACCACAGGCCAATCCAGAAGGTGGCGAAAGTGCGCTCGTCCGGGCTGAAGGACGGCTGGTAGCAGGGCACCGCGCAGTTAGGTACCTGGCCTGTCCTGACCTTGTTGTAGAGTGGGTGTGACTCTTTCAGGATAGGCACGAAGGGCTCGCGGCAAGTGCAAACAGCCTGGGCGCCCGCACCGCACTCGCCCCGCGAGGAGGGCGCCCCCGGCAGGCCGAGAAGAGTGGGCTTCGGCGCCAAGGACTTGGGGGGCGCAGTGGTGGCCTCGCTGCGGTTGTAATCCATGCACAGGACCTCGGCGTCGCGGCCCAGCACCGGGAGGCGGTCGCAGCTCATGCGCTCCGGCCAGGCAAAGCCGTACTGGCGCATGAGCGGCGAGCAGCCGGCTTTGGCGCGCTCGCACACCGACCGGCAGGGCGGCAGCGGCTTGTGATAGTCCGGCAGGCAGATGGGCGTGTACATGGAGCACAGGAAAAAGCGCAGGTCCGGCGAGCAGTGGATCTCCACAAGCGGCCAGAACTGGTGAACCTCCAGGCCCGCCTCGTCCTGCGTGTCATGGTTGAACTGGTTGGGCATGTGCGTCAGGTTGTAGCCGATGCCGCGGCACATGGGCACCGTGATTTCCTGGCACACCGGGGCCTTGGACGCAGCCGCCGCCCGGCCCACCAGCTGTGCCAGGAACAGAAGCAGAAGCGAGGGCGGCGCGCACGGGTCGGGCCGCGCCATCGCCCCCACCCGGCTTCGGCCTCCCGCGCCCCACCAGGGGCCCACGCAGGCCAAGGAGTGCGGGGCCGCCCTCTCCCGGGCGCCGCGCGTGGCGCCTGGGCTGACAACCTGTTGGTTTCTTTTTCTCTTAAAAGAAATCCGTCCAGAGACAAACTGCTTCGGGCAGGCGCAGGGGCTCCTCGTGGCAGGACAGGGCAGGGGAGGGACAGTCGGGCTCAGATCCCAGGGGAAGGACTCTAGGAAAAGAGAAGAAACACCGGAACCACGACTCTTCGAGAGGCATCACGGCTGGGTCCCGGGAAGATGGCTCCGATCGCCAGGCTACCCCTCTCTTCTCCTCCACCCCGGACCAAGTGTTCACTCCTGTACCCTCCCTTCCCCGGCTGGGCCTCGGGATCGGATGGCTGGGCACCCGGGAAAGGGGCAGAGGGACTGAACTAGGGGCGAGGGAAGGCGCGGGTTCTCACCTCCGGAGATCCTGTCGAGGGCCGAAGTCCAAAGCCAGCCTGGTCCTCGGTCCTTTGGTCTCTCTGCTTAGAAGCGCGATCGCGGGCGCGCGGCCCAGAGAAAGTTTAGCGACAGGCTTGGTCCCCGCGGCGGCGACACATGCTAGCAGGTGGGGAGGCTCAGAGAGCGGGGCGCCCCCCGAGCGCGGCCGGCGCAGGCCGGGCTCTCGCCGTCTCTTCCTCCGGGACCCCCCGCATGGCCCAGGCGGAGCTGGGCGAGGGCAGGCCGTGGGGAGTCGAGCGGAGGCGCAGGGCGAGCGCGCCCCGCTGCACCTGGCGGGGGAAGGCGGTGAGCGGCCGGGGACCCAGTAGTCTCGCCGGCCCGGCAGGGGCTGCACTGAGAGCGCCTGCCGCAGCCGCCGCGTCCCGCCGCCGCTCGCCTGCTCCCCTGCAGGGGGCTCCGCGCTCCAGCTGACTCCCAGGGCGGGGGCCGCGCTCGGGACGCGCCCGGCTCGGCTCCTCCCTGCGCTCCGCACCCCTCCGCCTACCTCCCGCGGGTACCAAGGGCGCAAGAAGGCGGCGAAGTCCGACCGGGACCGACTGCCCTCTCGCTCCCACCCGGGTCACCTGCCTCTAAAGCCCGCCCGGAGGCCCCGCCCAGGCCCCGCCCCCGGGCTCAGAGTCTGTGCTGGGCTGCGGCGCCACGAGCCCTCTCAGCCCCTCCCACTTCCCCGAGGGCTCGGCCTCTTCCCAACGCCCTCCGGCCCCGCCCGGAACGGGCCGCTGCGGAGCTCTGGCCAATTGCTGGCCGGAAAATGACGGGGGCGGGGAGAATGCTAATCGCACCTCCTTGAGAACTGGAGCGGGAATCCCGGGCCCGAAGTCCTCCGAGTTTTCCGCGCGCGCCAGTCTGCTCTCGGTGCAAGCTAGGAACCGCTGCTCCTAGGGCTCCACGGTGGCTCGCCTGTGCGTCCTAGTACCCTGAGAGGTCAACACCGTGTAAAAGAGCTGCAGTGCCACCTGTCTCCCTTTTGCGCGCTTGTACTGGGTAAAGTAGGGTCAATACCAGCTCCTACGTGTGCCCAACAGTAACTAATTGTTATTAATACAAGACCTGAAACACAATTCTGAGGCAAGTACGCAGTTCAGGTAGCAAACCGAGCCTTACCAGCCTGACCCTGAAGAGTGAGCTCATATAAGCTGGAGACTTCGACAGGCTTGTTCCCCGAGTGTCCTGGCGCCTGGCAGATAGTAGGCGTACATGGCGAGCCCAGGGCTGGCACCAGGCAGCTGGCAGCGCCTGCACCCTCGCCCCTCCCCACAGACCTTCACAGCCCCAGGCCCTGACCTTTCGGTTGCATCACGTCATCACGTCTTGCTGCTGTGACAAAGTGAGTTTCTGACTTTGGAAGACTCCAGGAATGTTAGTCCTTATCAGCGAGTTGTCTATCCTAGGCAGGTCCGGAGTCGCTCACAGGTAGCTCTGTTCGGGGTCTGTCCCGGCCGCGCCCCTGGGCTGCCCGCTGCCGAGCCCTGCTCTGAGCGTCGCGGGGAGCTGGGGGCGCCCGGAGCGCCCGCCGGGGGGTAGTGAAGCTGCACGTTTTAAATGTTCTACAAATGCTTCTTTTCTGTATGCTCTAATTAGATTGGAAGACAGGTGTTTAGCGTGCTGACCACGATGGTTTAAATTGCATCCTCTGTTCCATTTCCTCCGTCACTGGAAGGAAAAGACAGAGGGTCTGGACTCTTGCGGGACCCGAGGCTGAGACCCACTGCGAGTTATCTGTTTTCTGGGTTCCCTGTGTACAGACTGGGAGACCAAGTTTCAGAAGAGCCATCTCTCTCCTGCTGCAACAGCCAACTTTATGGAAAATAATGAAGACTGCGTAATAATAAAATAATAAAGCCCAGCCTCGAGGTTAAAAAGAAGTATCAGTCACTACACAGACATCAGAAGTACTATGCTGTTCGAAGTACACGCCCATCTTCTCTTCCCTGAAATTCTACAGGTGATCATGTAGCTCGCTTGTTTTGGGGGACTGGTTTGCACCTAACCCGCAAACATCGCGGCTGAAAATAGCAGGAGTTGGAGAGCCGGGAGGCTGGCTACCGCCAAGGGGAGCCCTGGGGAAGGCAGCGTCTGCGCCTGCGCGCGTCCGAGGGCGGGCCGGCAGCGGCGCGCTTCTGCAGCCAGTGCGTTACGGGGATGGACAAGTGTTGGCTAATAATAAAAATTATTTGAAGTTGGAGAATGTCAGTCACTCACACTGGAATTTAGTCAAAATACTTGTGTTATTTCCCTTGCTTCTTTTTTTTAAAAAAAATTTCACTTGGTTGTGACTCAAACTATGAACTGTTTTATATACTTTCAATAGCAAAAATCTTAGTTTTTCTGAGAGATCTTTAAGAATGATAGAAGACACTTCCATAAAGACTTTATTTTGTATTGTATCGCTTTTCATATAATTTTAATCTTTGCTTTTACACATATTGCTTCAAGTTAAGGGCAATTTGAAATATGCTGCATAGCATGTCCTAGCCAGGGTGTTAAATAATTCCTATATTTTACCTCATTTAATCTTTGCATCAGTCAGATGAAGACATGGGTACCAAAATGACTTATTGAAAGTTATTTAGTCCATGAAAATAGTAGAAATAAACATATATATCGTGATGACTAATGATAGTTGGTTAATGATATGCTATAGAATATTGCTGCAAGTAGATTTCAAGTTTTCACCCTACAAAATAGTGAGGTAATGTAGATAACAGATTGGTTTAGCCATGCTATAAGGAATATAATTTTTACTTGTCAATCTTTTATTTATTTGGTACAGGCGGGGCCGGGGAGATGGCTCAGTAGAATAAGTGCTTCCCTGGCAAGCACAAGGGCCTGAGTTCAATACCCGGTTCCACAA